CTCCCCCCTTCCTTAGTGTGTGCACAGGTGCACATGGAGAGGCCACAGGAGGCCATTCTGTTTCTTCCTCTCACTCTCCACCTCTTATCCCTTGAGAAAGGCCTCTCACTGAACCTGGAGATGGTTGTTTTTGGCCAGGCTGGTAACCAGCAAGCCCCTGGGATCTTCTTGTTGTCCTTTCTCCACTTACCCTGCACTGGGGTTATACCTCCGTTTTCACCCCGCCAAATGCTGAGACTACAGGTGTATGCCATTATACCCAGGGACACTTGTGGCAGACTTTCTTCTCTCCCCCATCCCTTTCTTCTCCCCCCCCTTTTATGAGGCAGGGTCTCATTATGTAGCCCTGACTTCCCTGGAACTCACTATATAGACCAGGTTTGGCCTCAGACTCACAGAGGTCCACCTGCCTCTGCCTCCTGAGTGCTGAATTAAAGGTATGAGCTGCCATGCCAGGTTTGTAATATTTTAAGAGAAGTTTTACAGTTGTTGACAGGCATATCTGAGCTTTACCCTCTCCCAAGCTTTGCTGACCCAAAAGAAGGTGACCTCCTCTCTGAGAAATCCGCAGCTCATGCTTTACGATAGACACTGTGTTCTTGTGTCCATGTTGAGGACTGACGATGGTGACTTTGGGTATCGCTCTGGTCCTAACTGTGTACTAACTGTAATCTGATACAACCGTATACATGTGTATATACATGATGTTTAACAACAGAGATGCATGTGGTCCAGGCACTGAGAGTCACTAGGTGACCTCATCGTTGTGTGAACTCCAGATAGTTCAGGACAAGGCACCAGGATCATATGTGGAACTCATTATAGACTTCACATAGTTACGTAGCACAGGGCTCGACATAGATTGCAAAAAGTAGCCCAGAGAGTTCCCTTGGCGTCCTGGAATCCCAAGGCACGGCTCTGGGACGCTCCAGCACATCGAGTCTTTGTTCCGGAATAGCACTCAACCGAAGACAGGGTGTGTTAGCTTCGCTGGCTTACCCTTCACAGAGATGCCTTATGTTCTTGGTTTGTACTGATTGTCAGGTATGAAGATGACAGAGAGTATTTATTGCCACAGAGCCTGTGGAGACTAGAGGCTGTTGGTCAACATTCCTTTCTTAGAGAACTGTGTGATATGTTTCTCATGGAAATTAGTGGGAGGAAAAAGTTTATTCTCCTGAGAAAAAGCAAACAAGCCAAACCCCTTTCTTTCTGCCATGCAATGACAGTTGTGTAAACTAGCCCCTTTTTGAGACAGGGTCTCTCACACTTTAGCCCAGGCCTTGAGCTCATGGCAATCAATGCTCCTGCCTTGGTCTTCCAAGTGTAGGGATTCACTATCATACTTCTCTTTTTCCCATTTTGCCTTGGCTAACAGATGTTCAGAGGCACTTTAATGTGTCATTGGAGTCACCAACTTAGTGAACATTTCTTATGTAATGTCTCCCGCCCTTTAAATAGTTTCTCATCATTTTAATTGTACAGGTCCCTTACACAATTCTAAAATGGAGAGAGAGAGAGAGAGAGAGAGAGAGAGAGAGAGAGGAGAGAGAGAGAGGAGAGAGAGAGGTAGGTTTAAAAATGGAACACGTTTTTTAAATTCATGAAGCCTGGTTTGAATATTCACAAGACACTGCAGAATACTAATGTGTTTGATTTCAGGGCACTGCCCTAGACCTCCTGGGGGATGTTACATAATATACAGCAAGCACTTTTCTAAAACCTGCAGTGAGTTCTGAATGCAGCTAACACCGAGGATTTCAGACAGGAGCCTAGGGCAGTCAGTGAGAGCGTGTATGTGGGCAGGTCCTCAGATCCTGCCTCGGAGAGACTCTGAAGTGTCATGGGTGGATGTGACCCTGTATTGAAAGAAGCCAAAGAGAGACCTGCTCATGGCTGCCACCGAGTCTTGGTCTCGGTGCCCAGCCCCCAGTGGCATTACCTGACTCTGGAACTTCTTGTGCCCGGGTTTTCTTGGACACCTTCAGGGCTGACTCAAGGTCGTAGATCTGGGAACGGGTTAGCTTCAGCTCCCTGCGGAGCTCATTGATCTCTTTGATCAGAGAAACATTCTCCTTTAAAAAAGAAGGGAAGACGGTGAGCATGATACGCAGGTGCTCTGTGGATGCAGGGTGAGCCCTCCTGGGCTTAAGAACCCAGGGGCCCGGACCTAGGTTAGCCCTCTGGATCCTGCACCCAGCAGTAGCCTCTGTCCTTCTCATTGCCGAGCCTTTCAAGGTACCAGCTAACTTGATTTCAGGTGGACTTGGCACCTTTCCTGCCCATCTGTGCTCTTTCAAGCATCCATAACAATGCTTTCCTGGGTACTTTGAATATGCTTTAATGCGCACAAGCATGGCAGCCCTTAGAGAGGCTATCACTATCACCTGGCGATGGTTCTGAAAATTGAACCTCGGGCTTTATGAATACTAAGCATTGCTCTACCACTGAACTAGACCCCCTGACCCTATAACCATAGGTTTACAGAGGAGGAAACTGAGGTATCGGAGAGGTTATATAAGTAGCCTGAGCTACAGAGTTAGCAAGTAGCAGAGCCAGGATGTTAACTTCAACAACACTTTTAAGCACTGTGCTACTCTTTCCTCATACCCCCATTGATTTGGTTAAACTAAAGGACATCTATTAGGGTCTTAGACGCAACAACAGATTCTTGCCATCAGCATCATGCTATTTAGTGAACAACCCAGACAAGCAAGCAGCTATTTAACATCTGCTATATCCACCTATTTTATGTTTGCCTGATAGCCATCTATTTAATAAGTCTTTACTAGGTACCCGTGCTGGCTAGTTTTATGTTAACTTGACATAAGCTAGAGTCCTCTGAAGGGATGGAACCTCAGTTGAGAAAGTGCCTCCACAAGATCTAGTTGTAGGGTTGTGCCATCCCTGAATAGGTGGTCTTAAATCTATAAGAAAAAGGGCTGAACAAGTCAGGAGGAGCAAGGCAGTAAGCACCATCCCTCCATGACCTCTGCATCGGCTCCTGTCTCCAGGTTGCTTCTTGGTTTGGGTTTCTGTCCTGACTTCCTTTGATAATGAACAGTGATATGGAATGTAAGCCAAATAAACCCCCTTTCCCCACCTTGCTCTTGGGTCCTGGGTTACATAGAAAGATAGACACTCGAGAGAGTGGGGCTGACTCTGACTCCTCTGCCTGCTCTTGGGACCCTTTTCCTCCTACTGGGTTCCCTCGTCCAGCCTTGACATGAGGGTTTGTGCCTGGTCTTATTGTGACTTGTTAGGGCACGTTTGGTGGATATCCCTGAGAGGCCTGCTCTTTTCTGAAGGGAAATGGAGGAGGAGCAGATCTGGGAGAGAAGGGAGGTCGTGGGGGAGGGACTAGGAGGAGAGGAGGGAGGGGAAACTGCAATCAGGGTGTAATATATGAGAGAAGAGTTTAAAAAGAATGAAAGTGAGATCTGGTCCCTGCTCTAGGACTTTACAGTTCAGTTGGGGTGGGAACATATTTGTGTTGCTCTGGCTTGCCAATGTGACGGTCAAAGGCACATAGAAAGACGATCTTGTCTGAATGACAGATGGGCTCTTAGGAGTTGACTCCAGGGCTGAGGCTTAAAGGACTTAGCAAAGAAGAGAGAAAAGAATGTTCTAGTCCATGGAACAGCAGGACAAGGGGACAGATGTATGACATGGCTGATATGGGGTGGGGGGTGAGTTTCTTTTTTTCTAATTTCCTGCACCTCAAATCTCTGCTTCAACTTCACACTTAGCACTCAGGTCCTCAGATATCACCAAGGAGGACTCTCTATCCCTGTAGGTATGGAGTGACTGGCCTCTTCATTCTCAGAGCCATAGCCTCAGGATGCAGCCTGTTTTATACATGCCTGCAAATATATCAACTCAGCATAGTTAAATGGAGCTGCTGACTCAGCAGTTCTGATGCAGGTTCCGAGACTATTCTTTGTACGCTCAAGTGTGTGTGTGTGTGTGTGTGCATGTGTTGTACATGTATGTGCATGTCTATGTGGGCATGGAGGCCAGAGGGAGACATCAGGTGTCCTGCTGAGGTTACGGTACACACACAGTCACAGCAGCGTTACATGTGGGATCTGAACTGAGGTCTGCACACTCGTGCAACAAGTGCTTCACCTACTAAGACGTTTCCCCAGCCCAAGTCTCTGCTTTTCTAAGTGGCAGTACCTGTCTCCAGGCTCGGTCTGCGTAAGATGGCGCTGTTTAGGACCACACTGAAGAGCGCTGGGTGGGGGTGTTGGGCCAGAGCTTGGACAGCATGTCCTCCTCTGCTGTGAGGAAGCGCCTGTGGAGCCCTTGGGAGAGCAGGGACTGCTAGAGGCTGTCCTAGAGTTTCAGCATACCACTATGTTTCAACACTCCTCACTTTAAGGGCCCCTCCATGTTGGAAGCCGTGCCCAACGCTCACTGCTAGTCCTCATTCTCCAGGCCAGGCTCCAAGCCTGTTTGTCTGAGTTCAAGATTTTTCTCCATCTAATGCTTTACTTTTTTTTTTTTTTTTAAAGCCAACCCAGGCCCTGGCGACGGGTCATTCACATTTCCTTTCCAGATGCTGTCTAGTAAAATTCCCTGCCAGTCTCCCCTGGATCTTTTCCATGCCGCCTTTATATCATAATGTGATACTTCAATACATTTTTTTTTATTGGACACTAAGACCTAGGGCATTGCTCTGCCTGTGAGGTGTGCTCAGTAAATATTTGTGGGCTGGATAAGCAGGTGAAGAACATGGTGGGCAAAGAGACAGAGGAGAGAGTCTTTTGAGAGCCACAAAGAACTCCTGGGCATGCTCACGGGCCTGGGGGTTTGTGGGGGTGGGGGCACTTTACCTCTCTTTGATGGCTTTAACTTCACTTCTGCCACATTCAATAAAGGAAGAACACTGGGACAGAGACTAGAGGCTGTGGGTCCCAGTCCCTCTGCGGTCCTTTCCTGTCCTCTCAGGTTCCTCTCCTAGGCACTTCCAACCACTGTGTCAATGAGCCCTATCAGTTCCCTGTCTGAGCCCGGTCTCCCACTGTGATGTGTCTCAGCTGTCTGGCAGCCCCTTCTACTAGTGGAGCAATTCCAGGCAGAGTCCTAGGTTCTCCCCACCCGCTTGGCAGCCACAACCCTGTGACCGGGATTTCAGGCTCCTGGCACCCTTTGGTGTGAATGTCTGTCTCTGACCCCACTGCCAGCTTTTTGACACCGCCATGATAAGCCCCTGGAATATGGCCCCATTTTCCCCCTTTATTATTTTATTTTATATGTGTGGGTGTTTTGACTGTATACACCTGTGCATCATGTGCATGCTCAGGCCCCGAGGAAGCCAGAACAGGACATTAGATCCCCTGGAGTTACAGATAGTCATGAGCTGTGGGTGACAGGACTCAAACCTAAGTCCTTTGGAAGAGTAGCAAATGCTCTTAACCACTGAAGCATCTCTCCAGCCCCGCAGGACGCCATCTTAATGGAGTGTGGCTGAGGCCAGAAATCAAATGCCCAGGACCCTGCATCTGCTTGTTTGTCCCTTCATTGACCCTTGATCCTCAATGTCACGGTTCCTGATAGCTATCTATGAACTGGTCTTTGTGCTAAAGATGGAAGTCTCACTTGGCTGTAGTATCTGGTATCATTTGAGTCAGAAGCATGAACCTAACCCAGTGAGAGGCAGGGATGAAGGAGGGTGGAGACTATCTCAGCCAGGAGCCCCGAGGGAGCAAACCCAACAAAAGGCACTAATACTGTGATGATAAAAAGAATGCCAAGAGTACCAGGAACTGTGAGGCTAAGCAGCCTCCATGCGCTCAGTCTGCAAGCATCACCTCATCTTATCCTGCAGCAGCCTCACGGGGAAGGTATTCTCAGATTCCTGTGGCTATGAGGACATCGAGAAAGTGGATAATTGGGGTTTGAGTGTGGCAGTGTCTGCCTCCAGAGTGGCGCCCTGTTTCTACATGTCTACTGCCTTCTACACTCTCCTCTTTGTCAGTCTTATTCCAGTGACTCAGACAGGAGGATAGCCAAAGATACCCCAAGAAAGACACAATGAGTTTCCTAAAAATGTTTCCTAGGGTGGCTTATGTTCTGAGGGACCCAAAGGTCATAGTGATGTCAACTGCATGTAATTTTGTAAAATTAAAAAAAAAATAGTGAGCTCAACAAGTTTGCTAAGGCTTCTCTTCCTGCTGGCATCCTGGCAGAGAGGGGTTATAAATGTTTCCAACTGTCCAGACCTACCTATCTCAGCTACTGGGCGGCAGGAGAGATCTGATCAGTTCCAAGTTTGGAAAATCCCAGGGCAGTCTGGAGACACTAAGATGTTTATGTGGAGGCTTTGAAACAAGGTAACCAGGGCCGCCTTAGGCCTTTGGAACAGAGAAGTGAAGACTTGGCTGAACTTTCTGATAGTGATGCCAGCGAAGGGAAGGGAATGTCCATAGCTCCCCCTACTGGCTGCTCTGAGTTAAAGCCTTTCAGGGGAAGCTGCTCCTAGGTGTGTGAGATCTGGCCATGGATGCCAGATGTGATCTTGGGAGCCTCACGGCTGTTAGCAGGATCATCCACCTGCACAGATAAGCCAGCCTGTCATTCTCCCTCCTTTTCCCATCATCCTCCTGTGCCTGACATGGTATCTCAATGTGTCATCTCTACACATTTGAAATGCCTTTGGTATTGCCACATTCCTCTCCCCAAGCTCTTTTTTGACCCCTAATCTGATGGGGTTTCCTGTCTCACCGGCTTCTTTCCTTGCCAGACTGAATTCTCTGCTAATGGAGCCCATCTTTACGAGACAAAGACAATGGTGTCCGAGAAGTGCTCTGATCTACATTCAGGATGAACCACAGGTCTTGACAACATGACCCAAGGCTAAGAGCCGTTCGTTCCCGTGGGCTCTCGCTGCCTTCGATGCTCTGCAATACACCGAGGTCTGTGGATTCAGGAGCCCCCACACTCAACACCACCCCAGTCTCTGCTTTTTCTCAATCTCTTGCCTCTGCCCAGAAGCAGGGCCCTTCTCCCAGCTGGCCCTCAGCTACCCACCACCCACCCGGGGGCCAGACTTTAATGGCTCTCACTCCTTTGAGACTTTGAGGACCATGTTTCCTCTGTGGGCCCAATGCCACTGGACAAACATAATGGTCCATATCCCTCAAGAGCTCTCTGAGGGTGGGAATACTTTTCGATCTTGGAATCCTCCATGGCTGAGACACAGTTCATTGTGTAAGTGGACCTTGGAAAACATGTAGGGAAGGGATGAAGTGTGTGTCCTAGGTGTTTGTACTGCACAGCAACTATGATTTCCATATTTGTATAAGCATGCCGGGGGAATGGTGTGGGGAGGCCCTGAGTGCCTATCTGGATATACAAATGAGATGGTGGCCCCATTCTTTTTCCTCGGTTATTTTCCAGTGAGTTGCTCAGCCACTGTGTCTGCCCTGGCTTTCCTTAGCCGGTATAGGATACAGCACTGGAGCCCTGGTGGCCACCCCGGAGGCTCCTAACCACCATGCACTAAGGCACTCAGGGCACCTTGCCAGCACCTGGGTGTGTGCATCTGGACTCAGTAGTGCTCCTCTTTCCCTCCCGGCGCAGGCCGCAGGTCTCCCTGGCCCATGAGTGATGAACTTTTAGAGTCATTTACTTCCACAGTGGCTCTTGACTGATTTCTTTGTTGGGGTAAAGGAAAAGAAATGGCAGTTTTGAGCCCTAATTCTGTACCAGGGCAGTGGCTGCTGTTTGTCTTGGCCAAGCGTTGGAGCAGCCACTGGGGTCGGTGTCATTTGCCCTGTGTTACAGATAAACAGAGCAGTTTCTGGAGGCCCAGAGTCTCCTGGCCACAGAGCAGTGAGGTGCTATTGCCTTGGTCCATATGGATTCTGTGTCCGTTCATTTCTCACACCCTGGGTGGGAATACAGTTCCTAGTTAGGCTTTGCATGCATAGGCCCTGCAGCCTCCTGTGACTCTGGCCTGGTCCTCTTGCTCAACCTCAAGATCAAAGAAAACAGTCTTGGGACCCAGAACAGTAGTTCTTTGAAAAAGAACATTCTTTTTAAATGTCTTCTGGGCTGGCCATGTGGCTCAGTGATAGAATGTTTACCTGGTGTGCATCGAAGCCCTGGATTCAATTTCTAGCTCTTGAGAAGAGAAGATCTTTCTAACTTTTTGCAAGCCAGTCTTATCCAGAGCCCTGATATAATCAGCGAGAAGTCTCTGTGTGTGCATGTGGCGGTGCTGGTGGGACCCAGAGTCCTGCCCCAGGCTCCTTTCTTTCTCCAGATGTTGTCTGAGTCACTTTTCTAGATCCACAGAAGTCACAGCACACAGATTTCCTTCCTCCTTCCCTTCCTCTCTCCCTTCCTTCATCCCTCCCTTCCTTCCTTTCTTCTTCTTTCTTTTCAAGACAGTTTCCTTTCTTTTCTTTTTTTTTTTTTTTTTGAACTAGCTCTGTAGACCAGGCTGGCCTCAAATTTAGAGATCTATCTGCCTCTGCCTCCAGAGTGCTGTGATTAAAGTAGTGTGCTACCATGCCCGGCTAACACACAGGTTTTAATGCTTTTAAAGACAGAAGACTCTCTGGGATCCACCTCATGGGAGCATCAGTTGAATCTGTTCTGCTGCCTGCTCCTACCTATCATTCTCCAGGGAATGGGGCAGGGGAAGAAACTTGGCAGCTGCCCTAGTACCCTTCAGCAAGCCTCTGGTCTCCTCTTCCTTACTTCCTGGAACTGACTTTTGCTTTAGGTTTCTGCTCAGTGTGGAGAGAGGGACCAGTCCCCAGAGGTCCCCAGGCCTATGTGCAGAGGTCCTCTACTTGGCAGTGAGACAAGGTGACAAATACCCTGTTACTCTGGTCTCACTGCCTAGCTTCCTGTGCTCAAAGCCCATGTTTTAGGTAGGCTCTTAGCAAGGCTGTGTGAGGTTGCTGGTACCAAGGGACCTACCAATCACATCTGCTCCTCTTTCCCTGTCTCTCAATACTTTTATGGTCCAGAATAGAAATGATTTGAATGGATAGTGGGAAGGAGTGCTGATTTTACAATGGGGAGAGACCAGCTGTGCCTTGGTGTGACCTGGATTGCTGTGTGCTCTGCCCAAATGCTTGTAACTCTACAACCTAGTATCTGGTTTCAATTCAAACTGCACCCTGTTCCCATCCCAGTATTTCAATTAGGATGTTAAAATAATGTAACCATAAAAATATGTGCCCAGTGAGATTCTGATGTTCTCTTTTGATATAAATTCTTATCAATTGCCTCAGAGGATAGTGACACCCAAATGGAAATCTGGCAGAAGCATCTCGATAGGTAGTCCCAGTAAAGTGCCTGGGTGGGGGCGGCAGGAACAGGGCCAGGCTCTCTGAACTGTCTGCTGAAGGATCCTGGGACCTGGGTGTGGAAAGCTCGTTAAGTACTATCGCCGCCAATACTGTGGGCGTGGTTCAATCTGGACCGAGAGATAAGGGTAAGACCTGAGGCACCAGAAAGGAAGACGAGGCAGGTGGAGACTGGCCAGGAGGTGGAAAGAATAAAAGGCAGCAAAGCTGGGTGGTGAAAGGGAGTTGGAAACAGAGGAGAGAAGGGAGCAAAGGAGTCAGGAGAACTGGGACCTGGATGCATCATGGGTAATGGAGAAGAACAAGGCAGGTCACTAGCTTGTCAGGGATAAGGATGGGATGGCAAAAGGAATAGGGGTACCAGTGGGCATGACGATGCCTAGGTGGGCTCTTTGGTGGGTCCCAGGTGACAGCCAGGACGAGCTCCAGGAGACCAGAGAGGAGGAATTGTGAGAAAGCTGTGGGTCCCAGCATGTGTGGGGAGCCTAGCATGGGTGGTCTCGGGCCGCGAAGGGATGCATCCCCGCATCCGTTACCTGCATGATGCGGACATAGTCGGTGCGATGCAGCTCGCCCTCCTTGATCACTTTCTTCTTGAGTGTGGCGAGGTTCCTCTCCAGGTGTTCCCGCTGGCGGGCGTACTCTTGCTGCAGGTCTGAGTTCAACCCTGCAATCTCCACCTGGCGCATCGTATGGGGAGACACTCAGCCAAGGAGGGGGATGTGAAGCCCAGTGCAGGGCAGTGTGGGAGGGCGAGGGTGGGGCACTCAGAGCTCACCATGTCTGCCCGCTGCACGTACTTCTCAAAGAGACCACGGATCTTCTCCTTCAGCAGCCGGGGGTCCTGGATGTATGCCACACAGTTGTGGAGGTCTGTCTTAAACCGTCGGACCAATGCTTCCAGGTCCCTTTCCTGTAATCAGACATTTATTCCTGGGACAGCGTGCTCCATGTGGAGGAGCAGGGGCTTCAGTCAGAGGCTAATGAAGGGGTCCAGAGTGACCTCATCTGGAATTGACACCTGACTGTTGGGGCCCACCCTGGGTACAGAAACCTAGATGGGCAGCCAGTCCTTTGGTAGCAGTTGTGAAATGCTTGTGCACCTGCCTGAACAGCTGCCAAGAAAAAGGGCTTGAGACCACACACGTGGCATCCCTATTGCTCTGGATTCCTTTAAGGGCCTCAGGCTTAGACGATGAAAGGGAACTCACATGGTCACACTTTCTGTTAGTGCCAAGAAAAATATATCATTCTGTCTCACAGATCCTTACCCGGGGCTGCCCCATGCCCCTTAGGACCTCACTAGTGAGTATTTCCTTGGACAGTCAGGAGCACTGCTGTGGGTGGATGAGAACCCTCTACGGATTGCTGTAGACTGGACTTGCTTTCCATCTTCAGCCATGCTTTCTGACAGCTACCTTCGCTTACCCAATACGGTGTCTCCTTTCTCTCTTCTCTCATAGCCCTTTACTGACTTTCTCCTCTCTCTCTCTGTTTATATATACACAGATATATAAAATCTCTCCATATATATATCTTTCTCTATATATTTTGTGTAAAGGTTCAAATCACTTATCAGCCCTTTCAGCAAAGAGCATGGCCACACCCTCTTATGTGTGGCTCTGCAGCTTTGGCAGTGTATGCTGCCAGGGTTTGATGTGGACAGTGGAAAAGTTCAGTCTGGTTTGAAAAACATCTCAGTGGCCTGTGGAAAGAGTGCACAGCTGCATCCTAGCCCAGAGCCAGAGGACCAGGCTTTCCCACGCTGGTTCAGAGTAAGAACTAGCTACGGGTGCCCAGGTGGGGGGTTTCCTTCCCCTCTCATTTCTCTGCCTGGTTTGTTCTTATTTTACAAAACAAAAACACTGGGATGGGCCAGGTGTGGTAGCACACACCTGTAATCAACAGCACTTGGGAGGCAGAGACAGGACTGAGATTCTTGGGCTACACTGTCAGTTTCAGGCCAGCCTGGCTACAGAGGGGAGGTACTATCTCAAAACATGTAGGGAGCCAGAGAGACAGCTCAGTGTGTGAGAGTGCTTGTTGAGCCAGCATGAGGATCTGGGTTTACAGTCCAGCATCCAGATAAAAGCCGGGTGGGTGTGACCGCACACACCTAAAACCCCAGCACTGGGAAGCAGAGATGGGAGTCACTGGGGTCCCTGGCCAGCCAGTGTGGCCGAAGAAAATGACAGCTCCAGGCTGAGTGACAGACTCTGTCTCAGGGGGATGAGGTGGAGAGTGATGGAACAGACACCTGACTTCCTCCTCCGACCTCAGCACATGGGCATCGGTGCACACACACGCACACGCACACTCACACAAGTATGAGCACCACACAGGAAATAAACAAGACTGAGGTGGATGGTCTCTAAGGTTCTCCTAACATCAGCAATTTTGAGGTGGTCAAAGCTTTAACCACTAAGGACAGATGATCTTTTATATCATGTTCTTCTCCAGGTCAAACAGGCCCAAGGCTAAGGGTGTTCCTTCCTGTAAAACTAGCATGCTGGCCCTTTCCTCCCTACACCCAAATTGTTTTATAGTCTCAGATGAATTTGAACATGTAAATCTGTGCAAGCCTGGAACCAGACAGGCCTGTGGGCAAGAGCGTGAGTTAAAATGGGAAGTGTTTCTTAGCAATGGCTGGCTCCGTCTCGAGGAGCCAGCTGCCCATTGCAGGCAGGTGCCAGATCCCGAGGCCGCGCGCTGCCAGACTCTAAAATCCTCGCACCTTCTGCTGCTCTTTGCGCATCTCCTGATCTGTGGCTCTCAGCTTCTGCAACAGTTCTGTGATGTTCAGCTCCAGTTGCGTGTTCTGTTTGTGGAAACGCTCCAGCTCGGCTTCCATCTACAGAGAACCAGGGGGATGGAGGCATGAGCAGGGAAGTCAGGAGCAAAAGCTGCAAGCTCCTGACAATTACAGTATGATGTGGTGGGAATGAGACCTCTCTCCTTACTGCTTGCCATCTTACAAGCACCGCTCTTGACGGATAGCACGCTCACTTGGAGTCCTGCACTCTCTGTGGCCAAGTTTCCTTCTCAGTCGCCTGCCCTTCTCTCTTTTTTTTTTTTTTTAAAAGATTTATTTGTTTATTTATTATATATGAATACACTGTAGCTGTCTTCAGACACACCAGAAGAGGGCATCAGATCTCATTACAGATGGTTGTGAGCCACCATGTGGTTGCTGGGATTTGAACTCAGGACCTCTGGAAGTGCAGTCAGTACTCTTAACCACTGAGCCATCTCTCCAGCCCTGCCCTTCTCTTAATGGTGCAGATTCCTCCTTTCTTGCATTCTTTCTAATTCAGTTGCTTCAAATCCTGAATTCTCAACTCCTGCTCAAGTCAGGTCTCTCCAAAGAAATACCTCTCTCACCCAATTTGGGAGGGTGTATGAGTGGAGCCTGACCCTCGGGTCCGTAATCGTTCTAAACAGAAAGTTGAGGCTTGTTTCTAAAGTAGAGAGTTTTGAAGGCCCAGAGTGGCAAGTGGGCATCTTCAGTCCAGGGCATAAAGCAGAGACAAGCTGGAGACAGACAGTCTGATCATCTAAGGGTCAAAAGAGTACAACCAAGGGCCATCCCCAATTCAAAGGGATGGCAGGAGACACCAGGGAGCATCTGAAAGCCTTTCTCTCCCTTACTAAATCTGTCTCACTCAGGGCATATCTGGTTCAGATGAACCTGGCTGTGGAGAAGCCCAGTTCCCACTCAAAGCATAGGGTAATGTTTGATGGACGGCCCAAACCTGATGGGCACTAGTACCTCTGGTGGTTCTAGGGGGGCTCACTGGCTGTTTTTAGGGGATGGGACAGTTCATTATTTGGTGTGTTGGGTGGAGGTAGGCGGAAGGCCCACCCTCCAATTCTATCATCACATTTGTAGGTTCCTGTCTACCTCCAGAAGGTCTGAGATGGTGAAAGAAGCTGCTCTCATGTTCTGGGCACAGAGGAATGCCTCTTTATTAATGGAGGCATTTGACTAGCTAGAAGAGCCCTCTGAGGCGAGCCTGGCATCTGGGTGGACTCTGTGAACATCTGATGAAGGAAGGAAGAGCAGGCATTTGTGCTGGGCGGGAGTGGGGAGATGGAGGGCTGGGAGGGGAATCTGGAACTGCCTGCCTCCGGAAGAGGCGTGGCAAGATAAACAGGCAGAGGTGCAGAGACTTCCCTCCTACTGGGAACACACAAGAATGGGGCTTTGCAGCAGCTAAAACCAGAATGGGCACCATCGGGGTTGGGGAGATGGTTCAGTGGTTAAGAGGACTTGCTGGTTTGGCAGAGGACCCAGGTTCTGTTCCCAACACCCACATGGTGGTTCACAACGCTCTATAACTCCAATTCTAGGGGATCTGATGCTTCTTTCTGGCCTCTGTGAAAGCCAGGCACACATATGGTACACATGTATGCATGCAAGTAAAACACTCTTACATAAAACATATACAACTAAATACTTTTTTTTCCCTTTAAGCAATGAGCACTGTAGAAAGCTTAGGAACACAGAACTGATGTAAAGGTAGTTTCTGCATCCTAGAAGCCTCCAGTGTAAAAGGGTGAGAGAACTGAGTCAGAAGCTGATATAAAATGGATCAAATGTCATCTGTGGTAGAGGCAGAAGGTGCCCTGTGTACACAAGGGACTTGAGTAGGGGCCCGCCCTGGGACAAGGAGCTCTGGCTGAATGCTGTAGGGAAAGTATTGGATGACAAAGTAGGAAAGAGAACAGCAGGTGGAGACAGCCTGCTTACAGAGGACGGTCAGTGGGTAGCCAGGTGCATTTCTGTGGGCTGGCATTGGTTTAAATGACTGTAAGATGGCACAGCACTGGAGGCAGGCTGAGGGGCCCACCACACTGAAGAACATCACCAGGAGCAGCAGCAGGGACCAGCCTCTCAGAGGTGGGCCTACATAGAGGTTACATCAGAAGAGAGAAAGCCAGGAGACTAGCTTCTCCGGGGAAGAAAGATGGTGTCCTATGACAGGGAAATGGCAGTTGGAAGGGACAAAGGATGCTCCTAATATTCAGGGCCCCTGAGGTCGTGTCTGAGTGGCACGGCAGACCTCTTACCAGTTCCGAGCCAGAAGAGACAGACTGGGTTAGGTCTGTCATCTGGAAGTGGCTGTATTCTTTGCCCTTGTTCTTTCCTTCACAAGCAGAGCCTCACATTACTTCAAGGGTATAAATATAAGCTGTAAAATATGTAAAGTGTGAGCGTCTGGCTGGAAAGCCAGAAGACGAGCCCAGAATGTGGGAACAAACATCTCTCGCCCAGCATGGACATCTCATCCACTTTTCTGTGTTATTCCATGTGATAATTCTCAGTGGGGAGGGGTGGGGGGGTGGAAGAAACCATTTGTCTCTCAGTGGACATTTGGCAGTGTCTGGAGAGGTTTTGGATCAAAACAACCTAGGCAGGGGGTGCTTCTAACATCAAATGGGGAGACAAAGGTTGGTGCTAAAGCCCTTGACAGCTCACAGGACAACCCCTCCCATCCCCACAGCAGAGAATCAGCCACCCCAGAACACAGACAGTGCTGAGAAACCCTGCTCTAGAGGAACAAATAACTGAATTGAAAGGAAAACCACAAGGACCCTGGAAGAGATTCATTTGCTCCACAGAGAAGCTGGAGAAGCATATATGAAGTGGAGTATCTCAGTCAAGGCTGGCTTTGTGTTCATTCACTGAGGTCTCTGTACACAAGTCTAGAGCTTGAGCCAGCCTTCCTATAGGAGAAGCATCACAGAGACAAGCAGTGGCTATTTCTGAATGTGTCAATAACACCAAGAGGAAAGACTCACAGTCAGGGGTTCCTGTAAAGAACCACGTCTGGATAATAGCTCTGGAATAAGGGGTGGGCATAGAGTGTGTAGTGTGTGTGTGTGTGTGTGTGTGTGTGTGTGTGTATGTATGTGTGCACATGTGCACATAAGGATTAGCTAGGAAGGTCTCTGCCCTATCTTCCCAAATGAGGAAATTCCCTGCTTAGAATCAAGGTTATGTTCAGCCTCCATCACTGCCGGGGGCAGTGAATGATCCCACAGGTGTTTTGATAAGAAGATCTTAGGGCAGAGCCATTATAAATGCCTGTATAAAGGAGGCCTGGAAGAGCCTGCCACAACCCCTTTCCTCTTCCCTCAGTGTGAGGACACTCGCAAGTCACTATGAGATACAGATCCCCCCCACCCCCAACCTTCTGATGCCCTGATCCTGGACTTTCAGCCTCTAGGATGCTGAGAAAGATTTTTGTTTGAAAGTTCCCAGGCTGAGATAGTTTGCTACTGAAAGGTCAAAGACAATTGCCATTCCTTGGCCCTGAGGTCACCAGCATATGGCAGAAGGTCCCAAGAAGGCAGCTCTGTGGTCAGCTGGGGGCAAAGAGAACACCGTGCTGACGCCATGGGGAAAATCAATACCATCCCTTCTAGATCCCATCCTCAGGCTGATCGCTGCTTGATTTCTTTACTGAGCCTCTTGGAGCAAAGGCATTGTAGAACATATCAGGACCACCATAGCCGGTGGGCATCTAGACAGGCAAAGCCGCTGACAACTGACATACTAGCTCAGAACCAATATCTCGAGAAATGGAAAGGAGAGTGGGGTCCTGCTCTGTACATGGGGTCAGGGAAGGTATCTTTGAAGAGATGACATTTAAGCTGAGACAGGGAAGATGAAAAGCTGGTCCCATGACGATCCAGGGTACAGTCTTCCAGCCGGGAAGGGGGGGACCCTACCACAGAGACCCTAAAATGGGAGAAGCCTGGCTTTTCTGAGCTGTCAGCAAGCTGGTGCCGGAGGAGGGGAAAAAGGCATGAGACGAGGCTGCAGAGAGACGCGCAGAGCCTTTGGGTTTTATTCTAGTGGGATGGACACCACTGAGGAGTTAATTCTATGTGGAGGCCAGGCTGTGGCCTGAGTCAGGTCCAGACAAGAGATGGAAGGGGGTGGTGGTGGTGAGATGGCTTGGCAGGCTAGCCCCAAGGACTTGAGTTCCAACTTGGGAACCCATATGGTGGATGGAGAGAACAGACTCTTGTCAGATGTCTTGGGCCCTCCACATGCTGTGGCAAGTGCACCCCCCCCCTAAGTAAAATAAGTATAAATCAGTGTTTCTTCTAAAGAAGCTATGGTGGAGGCTTACAGAGGGCAATAGCTAGCACTGAGCTTAAAATCTGACTGGCTTGGTGTTGGGGATGCTTTCAGACCTGGGAGTTAAGTCAAGAGTAGAATTAGGAAAGACTTTTTTGTTTGTTTGTTTTTTTCTTTTTCTTTTTTTTTCTTTTTTTTTGGTTTTTCAAGAGGAAAGACCTTTAAATCTGCATTTGACTGAAAAACAAACAATAGAAGGGGAGGGGGAAATTCTGGTGGAAATGATCAACAATTCAATTTTAGGTCCTCGTGGCCCCAAGTCCTAGGTGTCTTGTACCCAGTGGGAGCCTGACGGGTAAACAGAATGCCACTAAAATGTGCAGGCGCCTGGGCTAAAAGGACTCTAGAAATCCTTATTATCCAGCCAGCCTAACTTCTAATCTCTCGGCTTTGTCCTTTGTCCTGCCTGTTCCCTAGAACATATTCTTACTTATTCCACTCTTGGGCTTAAGAGCCATTGAAAACTTCTGATTCCCTGTCAGAAGTCCAAACACTGGACCCTAGCCTGGGCCCCCAACAACATGTCCATTTGAGAAGGAGTGCTCAGCGCTTGGAGGCAAGAGCATCTTTTGGCTGAGTACATACCGCCCCCTGGTGGCCAAATCTTCAACAGCTGCATCTCCCATTTGCCATTGCAATAATGCTACCCCGACTCTCTACCCCCACTCAGCCATCTAACTTGCTTTGGGGAGCTGGAAGTCTTGGATGCCTTGGCTGTGTGAAACATTCTTTCTCATTTCCCCTGGGCCAGTGAATGACAGGGTTAGAGGGGACAGAGGTCCTGAGGGGCAGGGAGTGTGAACCACAGCCCTCCCTCACCTCCTGGATCTGCTCCTTCATCACTTTGATCTCGTTCTCCTTCGGTTCTATCTGCTTCTTCAGCTCCTTTATTTTGTAGTCGAGGACAAACTTGAATTTCTCTAGCTCTTGGTTCTTCTTCTTCAGATCATAGATTCGCTTCTCCTGGAAGTGAGAAGAGAGAGAGAGAAAGAGAAGTGGCTGACGTTACAAGGCTCCCTGGCACATGGGAGCCCTGTAGGTTTGAAAATACACAGCCATGAGGCTGCATATGGGTGAGGCTACAGACTACTGGCCACACCGCCCGGCCCTGTACAGGCTGCGTGAGGCAGCGACTACTCCACAGGAACTCACTCCCTTCTGTGTAGGTTGTGAAAGACAATGTCCTTCATCCCACACTGAAGTTCTTCTGCCTCATGGCCTTGGTGCACCTCTATCAGCAAGCAGAATCAGTTCTCCTCTCTTGTATCTCATTGGATTTGTGACTCGCTGGAAACCCAAAGAAAGAAGTGGGCAGGATGCCGTGCGGCTGCCAAGGCTAGGTCAAACAGACAGGCAGCTCCCTGCCTGGCTCTCCTGGGACATTTCCTGTGGTGTAGGCTAGCTGCACTGTAAGGGGTTTGCACACACTGAGCCAGAGAGAGAGAGAGAGAGAGAGAGTGAGAGAGAGAGAGAGAGAGAGAGAGAGAGAGAGAGAGAGAGAGAGAGCACACTTAGGGCTCTGTGGCTGAAAGACTCAGATAAGTCCAGCCTTCTTACCACCCCTGCCCTGGGGATGGAGCTTGGCATGTAGGAGACACAGCCACTGTGGGTGTTCATCTTCTAGCCTCTAGCTTTTGGAGGCACCTCCAGTCTTTCCAAGATGAGTTTCCCTGACATTGGGGTCAGAGGCCAGCCCTCTTGTTGGACCCTGTGCCATTCCTGACCCTAAGAGGATAGCAGCACAGCTGTTTGTTTGGACCACTGAGTTTTCTGGTAATCTGATGGAAGTGGAGCAGGGACTGTGTGACATTTTCCCGTCACAGCTCTGAGAATTGACACAGTCCCCCATCCTTAAGGCAAAACCACTGACTGGCGGGACAGACACACAAGTAAATGCAAACCCAGAGTGTGATGTGTGATGCAAGGAAGTGGGGCGGGGCACAGGCATCGTGGTGGTTTGCACTGCCGCAGCAGGAGAGCAACCTGTTTCAGTGTGATGCACTGGTACCCAGAGAAGTTAGAAATGAGGCTGGAGAAGCGGGGGAGGACACAAGGAGGACACAAGGCTTTTGCCTCTTGGGACAGAGAGTTCAGAGGTCATTCTGGAGGCTAGATTTTGCTGATCTCTGCTGTGGGTCATGGGAAGCTACTGGAGGATTTTCAGTGATGGAATAACTGTGCTAGTTTTATGTCAACTTGACAAGGAGCTAACATCATCTGAGAGGAAGAAACTTCAATGAAGAAAATGCCCCCCATAAGGTGAGGCTGTAGGCAAGCCTGTAGAGCATGTTCTTAATTCATGACTGATGAGGTCCAGCCCACTGTGGGTGGCGCCATCCTTGGGCTGGTGGTCTTGGGTTCTGTAAGAAACTGGCTGAGCAAGCCATGAGGAGCAAGCCAGTCAGCAGCACTCCTCTGCGGCTTCTGCTTCAGCTCCTGCCTCCAGGTTCCTGCCCTGTTTGAGTTCCTGACCTGTTTTCCTTCAGTGATGAACTACAGTGTGGAAGTGTAAGCCAAATAAACTCTTTCCTCTCCGACTTGCTTTGATCATGGGGCTTCCTCACAGACGACAATGACCTAAGTACACTTGCTGCTGTGGACCAGGGCTGGGAAGGGGGGAGGCTGGTAAATTAAAAGGGGGTTACAATTTTCTTCGTTAGGAATGCTTGGTCTCTTTCTTGTCAATTTCCTCTTTGAGAATCTGAAGAGACCCCTGCTCCGACTCCAAAGACCAGACCATATACAAGACTTCCTGTGCAGAAACACCATGCAGTCAGAGGCTCACAAAAATCCTTACAACCCCTCATTTCTGAGGAAACAACAGGACAGCTTTGAGAAATTGCTTAATGCACAATGCCTGGTCAGCAGAGGGGCCTGTGCCAGGACCTACTTATGCAATGCTGATGCCCATGTGTGGCCACAGGAGAGTTCTGTGTGATGAATGGATGCAGGTGTAGACGGAGATGTGGGATGGAGTCTGGGTTTGCTCAGGAGGATAGCAACTCCTGGATGTTGAGGTGGTGTGCCCATAGAAAACACATGCCTGTCAGCTGAGGATTCTGCACAAAGCCATTCCCATCTCCCTGGGCTACCCAGTAGTTACAGGACCAATGCTGTGCGAGTCCCCTTCTGACCAGCAGTACCATGTGGGCAGCGTGGCAGATGAAATACCCTCAGCCCAAAACATGGGCCGTCCTAGGATGCCTGGCTCAGTGGAGAGCAGGGATCTGGGAGCCAGCTGATCTAGGTTCTTATCTGAAGTCTGTCCCCTACAAACTATGAGACGTTGGGCAGTAAACTCAGTCTCCTGAAACTTGCCTGCATGAGACACAACCCCTGGTTGTTGGTGGAACTGAGTGTGGTGTGTTGGCACTCATGAGCTCCATGTCAAACACACAGTGGGCACTTTGGAGACTGTTCTTTCTCCACCAAGTCAGGTAAGTGATCTCGGAGAAGCCAGAACCCTTTCAGCTCTGGGTCCCTTCGGGAAGTGGCTGGGAGGGGCAGCGAGCAGCTCTTACCTTGTCTTGAATGGTCTCATCCCTCTCCTGGATCTCTCTCTTGAGTCCTTGGATGTCTTTCTCCAGGGACTTGATGACTCCCTGCAGCTTCATCTGCTCCGTCTTGAGGAGCTCAATGTCATTGGTACGCTCTTCGATCTCCTTCTGCAGGCTGCTGAACTGAGGAAGCAGACAGCAACAGTGAGGACCCCTGGGGCCTCTGAGTGGATCCTCATCTCCTCACCTCAACTGTGGGTGCAGCTGACCTGCCTCTGGGAGTGAAGAGACCCCATCACTCAACATCCATGGGCTTTGGGGAGTAGATTCTGTTATCACTGTTATTTTCTGTGGGGGCAACCTTTTTGTAAGTTGACAAATACTCCCCCCCCCATACTTGAAAATTTCATAATGGCATACAATGTACTGTGGCCATACCCACCCCTGTACTACCCTCCCCTACCTCTGTCTCAGTTCTGACACACACCTCCCTTCTTCATAACTACTTTCCCGCTTACTGTAAGGAGACACGCTCTTTTTATGTAGCCAGACTGGCCTTGAACTCACGATCCTCCTGCCTTGGGTCCTAAGTCCTGGGATTACAGGGATAGGCTATCATGCTTATATTGTTTGTTCCAGAGAGTGGGTTTTTCAAGAATTTGGAACAGTTCAGTATTTTTCCAGGTCAAATGAGTGATGGACTGACTATCCACTGTAATCATATCCAGGTCTATTGAAGGTTCTCACCTTCCTAATGCTGTGACCCTTTAATACAGTTCCTCATGTTGTGGTGACCTTCAACTATGAAATTATTTTGTTGCTACTTTATAACTGTAATTTTGCTACTGTTAGAAATTTTAATGTAAATACCGATATGCAGGATACTGATATGTGACCCTTAACCTGTGGGTCGGAACCATACTCTATTTACTGCAGGAGAGAAAAGTCTGTCTATAAGATGCTTTAGAGACCCACTATCTAGATGGACCATGGTTCTTCTGAGACCATGCTGACCTTGGGAGTTGGTCAAGGTCACAGAGATGAGCCACTGTAGCCATGTCCATAGAGGGAGAGCCTAGTTATCCTGGGAGTCCCAAAACAGGGCAATTTCTAACAGGAAGCTTTGATTCCTAATGGGCTTGCTTTGAACTTAGCTTCTCTGTGGCTAACCATTAGAAGAAATGAAGTTCTATGGGGATCTGTGGATGGGGGTGCTTCTTCCCTCAGCATCAGTCAATGAAACGGCTGCCTCATCTTGCAGTCAGAGCATCTTACGCTTCCCACCCACTCTTCTGAGAAGAGGTCTTTGAGTGGGAATGTCCTGAGCCGAGGCATCTCTAGGCTGAGCTGCTACCCACCTCATCCTCACCCCATGGCCATTTCCAGCGAATCCTACTTGTCCCTTTGTTTCCTTGAAAGGAAAGCTCAGAGCATCATTTTGTGCACAGAAAGCCCATGAGAAGGAAGGAAAGGGTCAGGGGTGGTGGTACACTCCTGTAATCCTAGGACCTGGGAGAATGAGGCAGGAGGATCATGAGTTTGAGGACAGAATGGGTGTTGCAGTGAGATTGAATCCAGCCTGGGATACACGGTAAGTTCCAATCTCATGCTTCCCCAAAGAGGATGGGAAGCCAGATGTAGTCCTTTCTGAGGGTCCTGGAGGTGGGACCTCTGTGTGGTCACCCAGGGCTGACTGTCTACTTGCCCCTTGCCCCCAGCCTCCTCTGGGATGCTTCCAGGGCCCACCCCTAGGTCACCGGATAGCGGCCCCCACCTTCTTCCTCATGATTCCCGTTTCTCCCTTGAGCCGAAGGTTGGACTCCTTTTCATCCCGAAGCTTTCTCTCATACTTGGTTTTGATGTCTTGGATCTCTCTGTCCTCATCTTCTTCAATCTGCTTCTTGGTTTCCTCGAATTCCCGAAGCTGCTGTCGGACATCTTCCTGTGCCTGGCTCAGAGTGGGGAAGGGAGAGAGAATGTGTGCTGAGGGAAGGGGCCATGAGGCTGCTGTGCTGAGGGCCTGGAATCACAAGTGCGCAGAAGCCTTTTTCATGAAAGGGAAGATGAGTTAAATCACAGAAACGGAAGCCAAGGCCCTGTCCTGTCTTCTGTCTGTCTCCTGCCTGTATGTCTGTCTCCTGTCTGTCTAAGTCAGGCCTCAGGGTCTTCCTTCCACCTTCTCTTCTTCTTACCAACAACCCCGAACCCTGCTTGTCCTGTTTTATCTCTGTTCTTCTGGGACATGGTTTCTCTGTGTGGCTTTGGCTGTCTAGGAACTCTGTAGACCAGGTTGATCTCAAACGCTGAGATCGCCTGCCTTTGCCTTCCAGGTGCTGGGATTAAAGGCATGCGCCACCACCTGGCCCAGATACATCTTTAGAGCGCTCAGCTCACTGTAATTATATTTATGAAATTATTTGGTTATCTCTTCTCTGAGATGTGGGTGCCCTGATGGTAGAAACCTTGTCTCCTGTGCCCATACTCCCAGGGCACAGTGCCTGCTGCACACAGTAGCTGGGGGGCAGGTGACCAACTGAGAAACTCTAATTACCCCACCCCAAGCTGATCCATGCTGCCCTTCCTCACAGACAGAAAGGTGGAGTGCGGCTCCCTGGCATCACCTCCTCTAGAAGGCCGGTTTTCTCCTGGAGTTTGGCCTCGTAGAACTCTGTCAGCTCCTCCAGTGCTTGGCTCTTTGTCTCATCGTTATCCCGGAGCTGCTTCTCGTATTCCTCCTGCATCCTCTGAGACTTGAGCTGCAGCTCCTGGTACTTCTCGTATTCAAGGAGCAGCTTCTGGTTGTTACAACATTCTGGGGAGAGGCAGGGGCATCTGGGTGGTGCATGGGCAGGCAGCGGCAGCCTCCAGAGCCAAGGTTCAAGGCCTGTCTAACTCCAGTGACTGCCTCTGTTTATATCTCGCCAAGTGGCTAAGCTCCCTGCTCCCAATTCTGGACAAAGAGGAATAACTTTTATGAAGGAGCTGGTAGGAGGCATTTGAGGGTTCAGGGCCAGGGAAATGTCCAGAGTATGCAATACAGATTTTATATCCCCATTTTATAGGTGGTCAAGCTGAGCCTTGGTAAGGCCAGGGGATACCCTGGATAACACAGCAAGGACGGGCTGAGACTGGGACTCAGCAGTCTGTCAGGTTCCAAACCTGAATCTTCCACTGGGATGTAAGAGGTGGTGTGTGGGGCTGGAGAGATGGCTCAGCGGGTAAGGGCACTGACTGTTCTTCCAGAGGTTCTGAGTTCAATTTCCAGCAACTACACGGTGGCTCACAACCATCCGTAATGGGATCAGACCTCTTCTGATCTGGTGTGTCTGAGGACAGTGGTGGTATACTCAAGCACACAAAATAAATAAAATCTTAAAAAAGAAAAAAAGAGGTGCTTTGTGTGTATTTTGAGGAATGGGCAAATACTCAGGAAGGAAAACCTCGGTGACGTCCAATAAAGTAGTGTATTCGTAGACAGTCATACTCCCTGACTTCCTCTGTGTCTGGGGTGGAGGGAAGAAGGGGCATCTTTCAGATGCTTATCCTTAAACTGCCTATACCAACTCTGGCTAACTGCCCTTAGCCACGCGGCTCCCCCTTGTGGACTCACCCAGGTCTTGCAGCTCCCGGGACTGCTTGTCTATGAGCTCTTCTAAGCGTTCTCGGTGACTGATGTCCTGTTTCTCTTTCTCTGTTTTTAAAACCTGAAACAGAGAGTTACTGTTTCTCACTTCCACACATTTGCCAAGGCACCAATAGGACAAGAGATACTTTTACTGGCAACATTGTTATTCATAAACTTTCCTTAAGCCCTTACTTTGCACCAGACATTGTTCTGTGGAGCTATGAGCACATGGCTACCTTTTATCCACTTCGTATTTCACTTTGAAAGTTCTATGCTTTTGCTCTTTATGCACACATGGTAAAATAGATTCCTCAGCAAAGAGTTTGGGTTTGGACATGGACCAGGAAGATTTTGAGGAGAAAAAAAAATCAGGGATTCATTCCAATCATCTACTACTGATGGCTCAGTGTGGTGGTGGACACCTTTAATCCCACCGCTCAGGAGAAAGTGGCAGGTGGATCTCTGGGAGTTCAAGGCCAGCCTGGTCTATGCTATGAGTTCCAGGCCAGCCAGAGCTACACAGAGAAACCCTCTCTCAGAAACTAAATCAAACCAAACCAACCACCCAACCAAACAAATCCAGCAAAAGCCCTAACTGAACGCTACTGGCACATGGCTGTCTTCAGTATGTTTGTTCATATGTAAGTATTTACTTGAGACAACCAGCTCCTGGCAGGCTGAGGGTGCCACCCTGGAGCCTGGCTTGGTGTTTAGCTTACAAACAGCACCAAACTAACACTTGATGCCTGGCCGAATGAATTATAAGTAAATACATGAATACGTTTAACAGCCAAGAGCTTTTCTTTTTTTTTTTTTAAGATTTATTTATTTATTTATTATATGTAAGAACACTGTCGCTGTCTTCAGACACCATATGAGGGCATCAGATCTCATTGCAGATGGTTGTGAGCCACCATGTGGTTGCTGGGATTTGAACTCATGACCTCTAGAAGAGCAGTCAGTGCTCTTAACCGCTGAGCCATCTCACCAGCGCCATGCCAAGAGCTTTTCAACCAAACAGACCCATGAAGATAAGTTACCAGTACAAATACCCATTGAGCCAAAAGACGTGGATGAGTAGGCCAGGCAGGTTTTGTATAGCACAAAGACGGGCTTATAAATCCCTGGGCCGAGCCTAACTACACACTGCTAAGATAAATTTTATTTCGGACAGTCTAGAAATCAGCACCTGCTAGTCCCTTCTCTAGCATTCTTGTTATTTCATCTCTCAGAAGTGAGTTTTTCCTGGTTACAAAAATAAATACTCACTGTAGACAACCTAGAAATTACCAAAGTATATGAGGAACAAAAGATAAGTTATCTGTAACAGCGGCTTTTGGGATAGTCATCCAGTACCTCTTCTCCACGTACCTGTTTTACCTGGCAGTACCCTTCGCTATAGAAAGCTTTATACTCTGTCTGACCTGCTCAGTCCCCTGTCATACACATCTCCCCCCAGAAGCCAGGCTTAACAACTCAACAGTACAGATGCCCTTAGACCATGCAGCTGGCCCTGTGCTCAGCAACACGGAAGGTGCTTATTGCTGAGGCTGCGTGCTCGGGCTCCCCAAACACACCTGGTTCTTTGTCTTTAAGGACTCCATCTCCTGGATGAACTTGTCCGTCAGCTCCTTGATCTTCTCCGAGTAGTTCATGTCCTTCAGCCGGAGCTGATACTCATTCTCCATTTTCAGTTCTTCTACACGTGTCTTCAGCTCCAGCATGATCTGGGCCTTTGGGAGAAGGATGCAGAATCAGGATTGCTCACAGTAGTGGGAGTTGAGATACATGAACCTGTGATCTTGACCTGGGACCCACTGCTCTGACACTTCAAATGTACTACCAGCTAGAACTTGTCACCATTTGCCCCACAAGATGTACAGGTAACACGAGGACACAGAAGAGTGTCTTCATTTATCTTTCCAATATGTGCTCAGTGGCCCTACTATGTGCCAGTAGCTCTCATGTCTCCCTCAAATTGGCATAAATGCTACCTGTCTGGTGCCTACTGGGAACCTCTATTTAATCTGGCTACTTTCCCCTTCTTGTACTTGGCATGGAACTCTTTACTACTCCTTCTTAACCTCATCTTATGCTCTAATTTTAAAAATTATTTCTTCAGATACCAGCACTTGGTAGCTGTTAAATGATTTGCTTTTTTTTTTAAATTTTGTTGTCTTTTTCTTTCATTAGAATTTAAGCTCCCCACAGGTGATATATTTGCTGGTTTTGTGCTCCACCATAGTAGGTACACAGCTAAAACATAGTAGGTACTCAGAAGACAATTCCTTTCTCTGTGTTTGGTACTGGGCATCAAATCCAGGGCCTCACACCCCTAGAGTTCTATATTGGTCCACACACCAACCCCAGAAGCTAACTTGTCCCCATGAAATGCATAGACCATTGAGGCAGCCAAATAAACATATAAATTACAATTAAGTGTCCAGTGACATGGGTCACTGTCTGCTCTCGTGTCCTTTATTCCTGTGCTTACGTCATTGCCATTGGTTTTACGAAGGTCCTACTTGTGCTTGGCTCCAAAGTCTAGTGTTTGTCTTTCCCGTTACTACCACGATTTTCTGAAAGCCCCGTCATATGAGTTACCCTCATTTCCTGAAGAGTCAATGCTGAAGAGTGGGAAAGGACTCGGGTGATTTCTTCTCGCTCACCTTGATTATATTCCACACCCCCACCTTGTCTTTGCTGGTCTGTTTCCCGTACCTCCGTGTCAACAGGAGTGTGTTACATTTGTCTCTGTACTCCTAACAGGCACCTGGTATGGACTGAGAGGAGGGATGCCCACTGGGGTCCCCGTGTAGTTTGGTGCCAGTTGGAAGCAGAGGTAGAGGGGTGTACGTTTGGAAACCACTGAAGTGTTACAGGACACATGCTTGGTGTATGGCGACTGGCGGCGAGGCTGGCTTTGTGGGATGCGGACTTCCTGATGATGATGGACAGCAGAGCGTGTTAGAGGTGAGGTGGTTAGCTGGGGGGTGACTACAGAGTTCAGGTGAGAGGTGGGAGGGTAGCATGGAGAAATGGAGAGAGTGTAGAAAGAGATTCTGGAAAACGTGCCCAACTGGCTCTGTGGTCATGAGAGGCGTTGGAGGACTCCCTGGGTGACTGGCTATACCTGGGATGGAGTTGATCTGTCTGGCTTCACTGTGCAGAGCCTCATGCAGACGCAACAGCACCATCAGTACTGCTAGGTGTTCTGCAGGTGTGGTCCCACAGCCTGTGCTGGACCAGGGAGATATTTATTGTTGCGAGTGGTCCAGTTTTTGATGTGGGACATTCAAGGTGCATGTTCATTGGCCTTCTGTATTCTGCCACTGCGTTGCTGCAGAGTGTCTTTCCATGGTAGGAGTCTTGTCACGATACTTCCTGACTTAAGGTCTATCTGCCTGAGCTCCATCCTAACCTTTTCCAGTCTAAGACAAGTAAAAGCCCTCTGTGGTCTCAGATTTTCTCCAGCTTTCTTCTCTGCGACAAATTCTACTTACAGCTGCTAGGCCCATCTTCCTCCATCTTCCTGGAGGTTCAACCCTGTGCCCCTCCACACACTGCTGGTTGGATATGGAAGTCCTTTTGTTCTGGTAGTGCCATGCAGGGCTTGCATCTCCGATACAGCCTGGCCTGGGGCGGAGTCCTTCCCCTGTGTTTCACAGCAGTGATCTCTTGTAATACCACTTCAGCTTGCTTCCCTGCTTTCTTTTCCCTGGCTTTCCTCCCAGGCTTCAGGCACAAAGGGACCCTCTGTGTCTTTTAACTCTGAAGCTCCAGCATTGGTGGCCTGTCAGGTAGACAGCAGACGCTTCTGTTGCCAGCACGTGGAGTTGTACATCCAAATGACTGAGTGAGTGAGTAAGTCCCCGGCTGAGAGATAGTTACATGGAATATCAGAGAATAAAAAGATGGGGAGCTGGAATTAGGGAGAATGTGGAGTGTCACTCAAGGGATGTAGAGAGAGGAGGCTGAGAGGGAGCTGGGGAGAGGTTTGCAGAGAATCATCCTGATGGATGTGGGAGACGAGGGAAGCTCAGGAAGTGGGACACACACACACACACACACACATACACCACACACTACACACACACACACCACAGAGAGAAGAGAGCAGAAATGTTTGCCACAGGGAGGCTAGGTCCTCCTCCCCCCTCCTCCTTTGCCTTTCATAGAGAAAGAGTTCCAGGGTTCTGTGGAAGGGCTGTCTAAGGAACACCAGGGCCCTCCATCCTGCTGTGCCTTTGCATTGCTGTTCTGGCAGTTTTATTGTCTCTCTCCTCCCATGACTGTGAGCTTCCTGATCATAGCTTGAGTCATGTCTGACTTTTCCAAACACTCACGTTGGGAGCCTAGTCGACTGCAGGAAGCTCGCCCAGCTACTCAGATTCTCTTCCCAAGTGGCAGTGACTGTGTAGCTCTGGGATTCTCTGAGAGCCAGACACTCAGCTTCAATCATGAGCTGTGCCCGAGGCTATGCACTCAGGTTTCAGCAAAACATTTTCTGTGTTGAACTTGCTGTATGGACAGGAGAGAAGTTCTCTTGGAATAGTGACCAAGAGCCGTCTCCAGATTCAATCTGGAATCTAATGATGGTTCAATATTTACCAGCACAGTGGGTTTGGATCCAGCACTAAAACTCTTTGAAGTTGATCAATAACCCTTGAATCATAGGGGTGAGCAGCAGTATCTTTCCCACAGAGGCATTCGGAGGCTTCAACGAGAGATAATATGTCACTGGTACTGTGGCTGCTGCATGGCAATATTCTTCTGTTCCTTCTTTCCTTTCTTTCCTTCTTTCTTATTCTGAGACAAGGTCTTACTATAGCCCATGCTGTCCTCAAACTCATGGTCCCTCTGTCTTAGCCACCTGTGTGCTGGGATTACAGATGTGAGCTACTTACAAATGTGAGTTCTGGGCCGGGCGGTGGTGGCCCACACCTTTAATCCCAGCACTTGGGAGGCAGAGGGAGGCGGATTTCTGAGTTCGAGAGTTCGAGGCTAGCCTGATCTACAGAGTAAGTTCCAGGATAGCCAGGGCTACACAGAGAAACCCTGTCTCGAAAAACCAAACAACAACAACAGCAACAACAACAACAACAAAACAAATGTGAGTTCTGATGGTGTGTGTGTGTGTTTAAGTGTGGAGTTCAGAGGTTGACATTGGGTGTCTTCATCAGTTGTTCTAGAGTTTGTTTTCTGAGACAAAGTATCTTGTTGGACCTATAGCTCATCAGCTCAGTCAGGTTGTCTTGCCAATGAGTTCCAGGGTCATCTGGTCTCTTCTACCCTAGCACTGGGGTTATATACACAGACCTTTGCACCCAGCTGGTTGCTGGGGATCCAATCTCAGGTCTTCATGCTTGCCTGACTGAGCTATCTACTTCTCATTCCCCCACCCCACCCCGTCACATATTTTAAAATGAAGGTTCATTTGTACTGGAAATCATTACGCCTCACAGATGTGACCTGGGCATGTAGCTTGCCAATTTAATCTTATGAATGCATACTGCTTATCTTTAAAGTCCCTAGCCCTGGTTTCTGCTCTTACACTGTAGGAAAGTAGGATCACAGGACTGGAGCACAGGATGATCATGGGGTAGAGAGACAGGCAGTGTGAGGGTGGAGGCAGTCAGGAGGCAGTAAGCAGGATGGCTCGATGGCATGAATGGATCTGTGAAGGGAGCTGTGATAGTCTGTACCAGGGATGGGGATGACCAGACTTTTGGAGGACCTTCCTGAGCCTTCTGAATGCAGTCTGCTAAGGAATGCTGTGTTCCTCCTCATTACCCCCCAGTTCTTACCTTCTCTTCCATGTCTGTCTTAGTCACAAGCACCTCTTCAGCGAAGCCCACCTCCCTCTCTCGTTTGATTCCCCGACCATCCTTATCAAAGACCTTCCAGGTGAACAGGCAGCCATCCTCAGCAGCTGTCAGCAGGAACTGGTCATCAAAGGTGAGGAGTATCTGTGGAGGCAAGGAGCACGGAGAAGAAGCTTTCTGGGGCAGTGAATGGCCAGGGCAGAGCTGGCTACCAGACAGGTCTCTGTCCTTGCAACCCTGCACAGAGGCTTCACTGTGTCCATGGGCTTGTGTGCTCTCTACCAGGGCACTCAGACAGAAGCGCCCTAGTGCAACAACAGACTTCCTTGTTTGAGTACGAGGGAGTCAGTGTTTGGGAGAGAAAATCTCCAGCTCATTCAAAAGCAAAGAACAGAAGTGTGATGCTCTTCTGACATCGACCACATATTCAGGGATGATTTCCTGGTGCCACCACGTGTATACGGGAGAATTAGTTGAGCCTGTGTCCTTCTTTGTCTTGCCTCTGCATGTCATGCAGGTCCCTGCTTCAGTGTGGTTCTCACTATGCTAATGGGATAGAAGTAGTCCCGGTAACCATGGATCTATTGTTGAGACTTCATGATGCTTTTGTTTCTTCCCACCTGGAATTTGTCCCCTTTCGGCTACAATAGGCCCTAACTGAGTTCAGGAGCAGAGTGGATCATGACATTGCCTCAGTGAATTTGATTTTAATGATCTTATTTTCTGGGCTTTGGGTTTCTGGCACTGCTGCTGCCTATGAGAGTTTTTGAAGGCTGAGCTGGATTACTGACTCCCTGGAGACTGAGCTACATATTCCTTTCTATTTTCAATCCTTTATTTGCAAAACAGGGCAACACTAAGTTTTAGATTTTTAAATGAATTAACATGGTAATAAAAGTATGGCCTGAATTTGGAGAGTAAGTGGTTTTCCAGTTTGCGGGTAGGAGGTGTAAGATCATCTCCAAAGGAGAAGAGAACACGTACTCAGCGAGCCACTGAGGGGCTTGGCTTCTACTCACTGAGGGCAAGCAGTGCAGTCCAGGCTAACTATCCATGATCTTTGTCACAGCAAACCAGAGCCTCCAATTGTTCAAAGTAATTGTAGGTACAAGAGAGACAGCAACTCCAGACTGACATATTGATCTGGATGACTGTGAAGTGTCCCCTGTAGCAGAGTATTTCTCCCACTACTTTGTATAAAGCTTGGCAATTGGGCTGTATGAGAGGTAGGCGGAGTAAGGAGTCAGAAGGAGAAGGAAGAGGAGGAGCTAGGAGAGAGAGAGAGATGTAGGAGCCATGGAGGACCATGCATGTATTGAAAGGAGTCCTGGCTAACAACTTATATCTAGGTTAGTTAATTGGGGAACTCTTCCAATTGTGTGAGCATCTTGTTAATTGAACATTACCAAATATATAAAGCCACTGGATAATCTTTAAGCATTAGAATCTCATTCCTACTGGGTACCGAGTGGATGGTGGGCATTGTCTGGAGTTCAGCCAAACTTTGTGGAGACAGCGTGGTGGATTGGCAGAGCCATCTCCTACACTGGTGTCTCGTGGGTGGCAGGGCTGGTGCTTTTGGGCTGACATGAGCTGAGGTCAGAGTTGAGCAGTGGCGGGAGCAAGCTGCTGCTCATGGCCTCAGGGCTTGCCTAGTCTGGAAGATGGCGCCCTGTAACACAAGACGGATCAGGTGCTGCCGCTTTAAATATTACCCTTAACATCCCCCATTCCTGAGGCGGCAAAAATCTTCAGAGTGACTGTTGGAGCAGGGAACCGTTCATGTTATATAGTGTGTAGAGACTGGTGAGTGTCAGTCCCACCGGGCCACCGCATGCTGTTCCTCGAAGACCACCTGTACATTTAAACATTCCCATTACGGCTCCAGCTGCTACTGTGTTGAGGCCATCTTCTGCACCCTGTGTTTTCTCAATGATAACATCAAAAGCACTATAGAGCAAAGCCAGGGAACCTAGAGTATTAGCCCAAAGTGCCCCTTGCCTAGTCACCATATTCAAAATCTGTACATTTTTTGGTTTGGACCAGGCCATGCTCTGGGTTTTCTTCAATCCTAAACAAAGACTGTTCATTGCCCTTAATGTGGCCCCTGTCATGCAACATCCTCCAATGGTAAAGAAAGCTAGTTCAAATCTGCCTTGGGTTTTATTATCTCCAGTTGGCAAAATAAATCCATCAGTATTCTGAATGAGATAGTGTGGATCCACATTTAAATAAGGAGACAGGGGGTTCATACCAGTCAGTGGGACACTGGCCAAATCAGTGACTGAGTAACCGATCCTCCTGCTTGAAGAAGCCAGCTAGTCCACTGGTAGATTCCAGCTAGCCTGCTGGTGGATTTGTTGCCACTTCCTCCACCACCTTCCATGAGGTCACAGCCCATGAGGTGGGCTTCCTACCACCACCTCAGCCAGGGGTCGTGTGCTCATGGCTGTGGCCCTGACAGCAACAGTGGGAAGACCTGCGTTGCCACCTTCACACGATGACCTTCTGGGCGCCAACTCAGTTAAGCACCGCACTTCTCTGATCTACATTTTTTTTTAAACTACTAATTTCCTGCTGTGCTTGTCAACTCCTAAGACTGAGGGCTAGCTTGTCTCAGGCACAGCCACCCAGCAAGGAAGGTTGGAGGTCAACAAGAGGGGAGCTATGTCGACGTTCATCTAGACTCTACAAGAGCAGCAGCAATGCTCTCTGCTGCCGAGCCATCTCTGCAGCCCCTGAGAAGCATCCGTTTGAGGGACACTCAATCAGATAGAAAAATTCTTACAATAATGTTAAATTTTTAAAAAGCAGGATGCAAAAGAGTGACCATATAGTATGATCTTTGGTTCAGACACGTAATATATATGAGGGAGGATAGGGCCAGCGTCTGAATGATGTTTCTGCTGTGAAGGCCTGACTTCTAACATAAATATATACTGCTTCTATAATTAAAAACCATCTAACCACAAAACCGAGTAGTGTGGAGGGAAGATAGGACTATCTTGTGGCACTTTACTTTCAACCCAATGTGCATGCTAAGTATAGAAATGTGTCATAATAAAAAAATCCTTTTCTAATGAGTACAGTTACCTACAGGTAATTGTGATGGATTGATTGAATGAGAACGGTCCACAGGCTCAGCGATTTGAACACTTGGTCTCCAGTTGGTGGAACAGTTTGGGGAGGATTAGGAGGTGTGGCTTTGCTGGAGGAGATGTGGTCACTGGGAGCTGGTTTTGAGGAAGGCTCATGCAATTCCCAGTGTTCACGCTCTGCCTTGAGGTTGTGGATCAATGTGTGAGTCTCAGCTGTTCCTTTACTCTGTGGTCACGGATTCTGACCCTCTAAAACCGTAAGTCAAATTAAACACTTTTGTTTATGAGTTGCCTTGGCTGTGGTATTTTATCACAGCAGTAGAAAAGTAACTAAGACAGTCAGCCAACATAGAGTTCAAGACATAATTAAAATTTTTTTCATTTCATCCCATCTCAAATAAAGGAGACATACATTTTCTCAGGATCTGTTTCTCAGGGGTCTGTGTAACACCTCCCCTACCTCCATGAATAACTTTTGCTTTTCCATTGGCTCTGACTTATTGGCATCTGTTTTTCATGCTAGAGAATGCCTTTTCACTACTTCTTGTTATAGCAAAATACAAACACTGTAAAATTTACTGTTTTAACCATTTCTTGGTATACAGTTTGTGATCAACACACCTGTGGGGCTCTCAGGCCATCACCTCTGTCTGTCCTTATTTCTTTGTCCTTCAAATCAAAGACTGAACAAATTGGACAACAACTCCCCTTCTTTGCCCCATCCCAGAGGAGAACAGAATGACCACTGTTCCATCTTCTATCATTTTTGACTAGTCTTAAGGATCTTCTTTTAAAAATGTGAATTAAGGTTCTATTGGTCAGTTTGGGTGAGTTAGTTTTGGGTGAGGTGAACATGATCTTCACTGTTCCACACACTCAGATCCTTGACAGTGGGCAATGGTGGGGTGTGAAAAGGCTCACACACTCAAATCCTTGACAGCAGGCAATGGTGGGGCATGGAAAGGACCCAAAGGCCCCAGAAGTGGACAAAGCTTTGGGGACCAGAACTAATGCCCAGGAATAAATCCACATTGGAAAGTTGCCACCAAGCTGTGGGGATGCTGCAGATACCAGATCCCTGTCCACTCTGGCTCTAGGCTGGGAAGCCAATGGCCATATCGTATAAACTCCATGGTTCATAAAAACTGAAAAAGCCCTGGAAAGGACCACAAAGTCCACCTCACAGCGGGACTCTAACCTTTGAGCCCATTTTCACTACTGTTAAGCATCTGGTGAGGTCAGAGGGCACTGTGTTGCCTGTTTGGGATTGGCTTGTTTTATTTAGTACAGTGTTCTTAAAACCCATTCATGTTGTAGCACAGTGCAGAGTTCCCTTTCCTGTCAAGGCTATTACTCCACTATATGAAGTGTGTCTGAAATCCGTTTCCTTATCTATCCATCTGCCCCTGGACACAGGCTGCTTTCTTAAGTTAGTACTTTCCTCCATTATGACTTGAACTGTTTAGCCATTAGACACAGACATTACTTCACAAGAAGAGGGAATAGGACTATTTGCAAAAGCATGCCTATGTTATTATTCATAGGGTTAGTCTTTATACTCATATTCTCAGGGAGAGGTTGTGTGGTGGCTTGAATAGGTTTGGCCCACATAGACTTATGTGTTTGAGTGTTTGGCTCATAGGGTCTGGCACCATTAGGAGGTGTGGCCTTGTTGAAGGAGTGTGTCACTGTGTCACTGTGGAGGCAGGCTTTGAGGTCTCATATGTGATCAAACTCCACCCAGTGTGGAATCCAGTCTCCTCTTGGCTGCTTTCAGATCAAGTTGTAGAACTCTCAGCTCCTTTAGCACCATGCCAGCCTGGATGCTGCCACGCTTCCCCTAATGATGATAATGACTAAACCCCTGAACCTGTAACCCAGCTCCCAGTCAATGTTTGCCTTTATAAGAATTGTCTTGGTCATGGTGTCTCTTCATAGTGATGGAAACCCTAACTAAGACAGAATGGGTCTAGTCTCTTGGGGTGTGACTTCTCTTTGTCTGGGAGTGGTAGGCATCTAAGGGTCATTAGTAGGTATATCTCACTGCAGGTGGGAAATCTGATGATGGTGATCTAACTGGGACATCTACAGCACTCATCCAAGGGCCCGTTATTGGGTATAATTTTGTGACAAATGATTTTGTGACTCTGGTTACTTCCTAGGATAAATTCTCAGTAATTTCATCGTGGGCATGACTAGCCAGTAGGTGCCCAGAGACTGAGTGACAGACAAACAAAGAGAGAGAAGGAATGAGGAGCAGGCAGCACTGAAAAGTTGCTGGGTAGGCAGGCTTGTGAGGGAAGAGCCTGGGCTGGGACCCAGTGGGGAGGCACCTCTCACCTTCGTGACGGGGCCAGCATGAGCCTGGTACTCATTGAATTCTTTTTGCAAAGGCAGCGGGTACTTCATGGCACGGATAGTCCCCACGGAAGTGCCCACAAATATCATGCGCCCGGAATGTGAGATGGTGATGGCTGTGTAGGCGACGTCAAATGCTGGTATCTCTCGAAGGATCTGGAACACAGGCAGATCTGTTCAGTGGGAGGGGCTGAGCTGTGTCTCCAGTGTCCGGGTATCACCTTTGTGGTAGAATTCTATTCATTTTTTTCTATTCCTTTGAGTATTTGGTATAGTAGCCAGCGTGTGAAAGGTCCAAACTAAATACAAGTTGGTTTCTCTTCTTCCTCTTTCTCCTCCTTTCTCTTCCTCCTCCCTCCTCCCCCTTCCCCTCCTCCTCTCCTACTCATCATCATTGTGGTACCAGGAATGAAACTCAGGCCTCACACATGCTATGCAGGCTCTCCCATCACTGAGCCCACTTCAGAGTTTCTAATATTTATTTATTTATTTATTTATTTATTTATTTATTTATTTATTTATTTATTTATAAAACTGTGTAGCTTTAGGTAGTCTGGAACTTACTAAGTAGACCAGGCTTGCCTCACAGAGACCCACCTGCCTCTGCCTCCAAGTGCTGGGATTAAAGGTGTGTGCAACTGTTGGACTCTAAGATCCAAAACCAGGGAACTCCCTCTCACAGAAACACACGTTAAGGGCCCAGCTTCCTGATTCCTGGAATGTGTCTGTGTGCTCTGGACCTTCCTCACCCGAAGGTGGGTTCTCTCTTCTGTGGTCTGTGGAATGTTAATCAGCCTCTCCCTTCTTCCTCTGAATGTTAATCTAGCAAGTGTCCTCTGACTAAGAAATGTGCCCCTTCCAGGATGTGTCCTGGGACAGTGAGGTTCTTTTAAATTTAAGTTCAAACCGAGACCCGAAAGTCCTACATTCCCCCCTTTTTCTTGTGGGTGATTCCAATTCTGGAATCACAAGCTGTCATTTTTAACTTTGGGTGAATGTCCCTTAACATAATACACCTGGGCAAACGGAAGACACTCATTGTCATAATCTGAGTCACCTAGAGACCGCCCTTTGTGGTTCCCCTTGTGAACTCTGTATAAGAACTGCTCCCAGCTTTTGTTTGGGGCTCTCTTGCCTGCACGAGAGAGAGTCCTAGTGCACTAGTATCATTAAACCTCATGTTATGGCAGTGAGTCCCGACCGTGTGTGTTTCTGTGAGAGCGGGTCCCCTGGTTTTGGATCTTAGAGTCCAACACAACTATGCCCATCTGGAGCTTCCAAATCTTACGTGATGTGTGTGTGTGTGTGTGTGTGTGTATGTGTGTGTATATGTGTGTGTGTGTGTATGTGTGTGTATGTGTGTGTGTTTACACCAGTGTGAATACATGGAGGCCAGCAGGACATCAGGCACCCTATTCTATCAATCCTGTCTTATTCCTTTGAGACAGGGTCCCTTCACAGATCCTGGAGCTATACAGATGGCCAGCAAGGCCCCATGATCCTTTTCTCTCTGTCCTACCCCCATCTGCCCAGCCCTGGGGTTATAGGTACAGACGGCCACACCAAGGTGCTCAGATCACAACTCATGTCTCCATGTTTGCACAACGAGTGCTCCCCCCAGCCCCCAGTGTCCCTTCAGCTCTAGTTTCTTGACTAATAACCTGTTGTGGGTGTTAGGAACAATATGATGGGATGGCCGGAAATCCTCCTATGGCACTATATGCAAACACTGTCTGTAGTGGTTTGAATAAAAATGGCCCCTGATAGGCCCATAGGGAGTGGCATTGTTAGGAAGTGTGACCTTGTTAGAATAGGTGTGGCTTTGCTGGAGGAAGCAGTGGGCTTTGAGGTCTCAGAAGCTCAAGCCTGACTAGTGGCTCACTATCTTTTTTTTTCTCCTGCCCCTGGATCCAGATGTAGACCTCTCAGCTGCCTTTCTAGCATCATGTCGGCTTGTACGCTGCCATGCTTCCCGCCATGATGATAACGAATTAAACCTCTGACGTGTAAGCCCGCCCCAATGAAATGTTTTCTTTTATGAGTTGCCTTGGTCATGGTGTCTCTTCACAGCAATAAAACCCAAACTAAGTCACTGTCTTATATCCTTTACCTGTTGTAACTCACCTGCTCATGCCAAAACCCCTGAGGAAGTTAGTTACATTTAATGACAGTAGAAGAGGAGTCACTGAGGCAGGAAGTAACTTGCCTTGGCTCCTAGGTGTGGTCAGTGGTGGCATCTTGACTGTACTGCTGTGCACACACCCCGGGGTGCCAACAAGATGATGATTGTAAATTTATTCAGGAAGTGTTTATTAGTGTCTAACCTATGCACCAGGAAACTCATCTGCCCCTCTCCTCACGGCTGTGCTTGTTCACCCACCCACTCACCTAGCCACACTTGTTAAGGTTTGTGTGTGGGGAATGGAGTCAGCCAGTCACCACATAGTGGGGATGTCAGGGGGAGGGAACATGGCCCTGCCATGAGGAAAGGTTATTCTGGTCTAGCTTTGGAAAAGTTGTCTAAAAATTAGGTTCAGGCCTCCTGGGAATCCAAAGGAGAGATGCCCTGTGTTAACTAGGCTGTGTTCCAAATCTCTCTTAGGTTTATTTGCTGCTCTGGTAGCCATGAGCCTCCTCCCAGACCCAAGGTGCCAGTCCATGACAGAAGCTGAGAAAAACCCAAAAAGCCAGAGACCGGCTGTCCCTGGGCTGGAGAGGAGCATCAGCCATATTGTATAAAGGGTCCTCGCTGAATTTTGCTCTCTGCCCTTATGTCCAGGAGTCAAATGTGGTAATATAAAAATCTGTAGGTTAGAGGTTTTGAAAGAACACGGTGGCAAGCCTGGGATGGCAGGGGCTTTATCTCAGCTGAGTGCAGAACAAGGGTTAAGAGTACAGTTTAATTAAAAATTACATTTTAATTAAAATTTTGTATATGCACGAGCAAAATGGTGTGTGTGTGTGTGTGTGTGTGTATGTGTGTCTGCATATTGGAGGACAACCTGTGGGAACTGGCTCTCTCCTTCTACCAGGTAGAACCCCAGGGTTCACCTCAAGTCAGGCTTGGTGGCATGTATCTTTACTAGTGGAGCCATCTTGGTGGCCCAAGGCTGGTTTAGAGATGTTGCTGATCTCCATGTGTTTGTTTGTTTGTGTGTGTGTTTGTGTTTGTGGGGAATGGGAAGTAGTAGACATCAAGATGGAAAGGTTTAGGGGCCCCACATTTTGAGCCATTCAAGGGGATCAAAGAGTGTTGAACTGACATGACCCAATAGAGAATGTAGCAGGTGCTGTCCCATGAAGGAGGACCCTCTCCCATGCATGCTTCCCAGCAGAAGCCCAGGAGCCTGCCTGTCTGTAGTGCTGCAGAGCAGCCAGAGGGAGGGAAGAGTGGACTCACCAAAGAATCTGCAATCTCCTTGAGAGTCTGGTCAGATCCGACAGCGAAGATAACTTTGGCATCAGGGGAAGTGGTCACAGAGTTGTAGCTACAGGACTTGAGCACACACTCTGTCTCCCTCTTCCCCGTGGACAGATTCCATTCATACACGGCACCATCCGTTCCAGCAGAAATCAGTTTGCTGTCATCTAAGTTCCACACAAGTGATCGAATCTGCAAGGGATGCAGGCACACCTGGATGAGAAGGGTACACACACACGCACACTCATATGCACACGCACACACACATGCACACTCACATGCACACACACATGCACGAGCACACACACACCAACTTGGGGAGGAGACAAACCCAGGGGCTGTAATACACTATAGCAGAACGTCTGTTCCTGGTAGAGGCCTGTCTAAAACATGGCTTCCTGGCCACATTAACATTCTGTTTTCTGAGATGTCTGTAAAATACTGTACTCCTATTTCCATTTCTGACTCATATCACCTCTAATTTCAGTCGAAGCACAGATTCATCTCATGCTTTCCCTTCCCTCCGTACCTGTAGACCTGGGTCCTATTATCTTTAACATTTGCTTTCCTGCTTTTTCTGTAAGTAGCCGACCTCCTGACCCAATGGCTCCTGTTGGTGACAATGGCTATCCTCTCTCAAGTCAACGTCACACTTCGGTTGTTTAATGCTATTATAGGAAAGCCTAGTGACCTCATTTCCAATATTACTCTTAAATTATATATTGGTTTGATACTGGATCTGAATACTCTTTGGATTCTGTGCCTCCCCAATCATGCTGTCAGCAGTAGTTTTATGAATTGCCATTTTTTCCATCTTTCTTGTGTTATTGCACTGATCAGGACCCAGAGAAAGGCTACCAAGGAAACCACAGTGTAAAACACATAGAAGATCTACAAGGTTCTATGCATTGGGGGCCCTGTAAACTGTCAGTCCACTGTGTGTCGCCTGATATCTATGCTCCATCCCCACAAACTCTGTACCTCTGACATGCCCTGTGATCTATCTGTGGGGGTTTGTATTCTCATACGTAATGGTTATGGCCACCAGCTCTGTCTGCATGTGTAACTCCTGACCACTTCCCCAGGACCAAGGCTTTGCAAGCATCCCAGCCTAAATTAAGCCTGCCTCTTCAGCAGACTGCAAGCTTTTCTTTCACTCAGTCAGTTGCAATTTGTCTTTGCAGGCATTTGGTGGACCCCGTGGCTAGCACAGTGCATGTCTCGGTGCCCTTTGGCCACAGGCCACTGACTTACCTTCCCCGTGTGGCCTTTCAAATTATTGATGTTCTCCAGGTTCGTGGTGGTGAAGATGTGAATCACATTTCCATTGACTGCAGCGAACAGGTGACCTCCGTTGCTAAAGGCGCACTACAGGGAGGGAGGGCCAAGCAAGAAGCAAGCATCTGAGTGGAGGCCACTTTCCCAGGAGGGTTCAGGCAGGAGTCTGGGTGGGATTAGGAAGGGCTGTTTCCAGACACCAATAATAGAGAAAAGCTTGGCCTGATGCCGTCTGTCACAGAACCTCACGGTATCTGCAGAAGCTCTGATTCAGGCTGGGGAGGTGATGGTTTACGTCACTTGCTTCCTCAAGCCATCTGGGGGTAATCTGATGGGCCACAACTGCATCTCACTGTTGACTTGGTTTTCCCAGCTCCTCACAATCTCTACCACTACCTTCCTGGCTGGGACTCTCATCTTGGTATTGCTTTTCTTCTTTAACCTTTATTAACATGCCCAGGCCTATCACAGATTTAATCCCACAAAGCCCTAGGTCCAGTGAAATGGTTTTGGGGGGGGGTGTAGAAAAGCATGGACAGGGGCTGTAGTGATGGCTCAGTGGTTAGAGCACTGGTTGCTCTTGCAGAAAACCTGGGATCAATTCTCAGCAACCACATGGCAGCTCGTAACCACCTGTAACTCCAGCTCCAGGGGATCTGACACCCTCACACAGACACGAATACAGGCAAAACACCAATGCACATAAAGTAAAAATAAATGATGTTTTCAAAAAGAGAAGAATGAATAAGTAAAGTAAATAAAATCATGGACAGAACCATGCACTTCGTGAGTCTGGTGACAGGCGCTCGGACTGCTGTTCTAAATCATGAGGGCCCCACCAGACAGACTTAGGTCCCACCGGCTTTACCTCTTTGCATCCTCTGACAGAATATTCTTTGAAAGGACGGATGTCATCAATGAGCAGATTCATAAGGCGCAGTTTGTCAGCAAACCCCACCACAATGTAGTGTCCAGAGGGGTGAAGACTGACTGTGTAGGCCTCTTCTTGGTATTCCTTATATAACTCCAATGTGCTGTGAGAAGAGCCAGCTACTGAGTTATGAGCTGAATCCCCCAGCCCCCTTCAGTCCCCCATTTTATTTGCTTTTGTGTGTCTGAGTTATTTCATTGTGTGTGATTACTGTTTTCTGGATTCTGATTAAAGATAACAGTCACCACTGAGTGTAGCCAATAGGGAAGCTGGTCAAAACTCTGGCTAGTGATGAATGCACAGTCCTGCTGAGAGCCCAAGCATCCCAAGGACTCTCTACAAACAGTATCTCCCAGCAGCCCCTTGTATACATAAGAGTAAAGAGGGATATAGGTCCAGTCTGCGTTTGGAGATCCTAATGGAATCTGTACCAGAAGACTATATCTGGAGGGGAGCTAAGGGTGGCTGGGGTGGTGATGTGGAAAAAGAGGAGGGGCCAAAGGTCTAGAGAGATGCCTGCAGCTGGGGGAACTGGGGAAAGGGAAGGCTCAGGAGGGCTGGAGTGACAAAGATATTAACAGAAGGTGAGCTATTGTGGGGTGCTCACCTCTGTGTTTCTATAGTCTAGCACAGTATCTGGCGTATAGCAAGCATTTAATAAGCCAGAAAGTAATTGTCGAGTCCATGCAAGACTGAGAGGCTGCTGACTAATCTGGCTTTTAGTAAAAGGCTTTTCCAGCTGAAAGCATCTAGGTCATTGGATTGCAAACCTCTCTAATTAAAACACTTTGCATAAACAGACTTAACCAACTGACTTTCTGAACACACGATAGCAGTGGAGCCTTTTTCTTCTTACTTTGATTCGTAATTCCAGATGCGGACAGAGCGATCCAGAGAACAGGTGGCAATGAGGGGTTTTCGGATGCAGGTAGCTAGACCAGTGATGGATGCTGAGTGCAGTGGGTACAGCAGGTACTCGAAGTGGGCAGCCTCTCCCTGGAGAAACCACACAGAATGAGAGCCAGCAGGGTGAGCAAAAGGCCAACTGTGACCTTCAGCAGGCATTAGTACCTGGGGCCCTTTATTAGCCTGTGCATACAGAACTCACATGGTTTTTCCTGAAGCAGTATACTGGTGAGGCCATGGAACCTATAGGAGAACCTACTATAACCCATTTTTTTCCTAAGCCAGTATAACCTCTAACTGTATTCTAAGTAGTTATCCTTATACACACAGCTAAGTGCAGCTCTCACCATCGTCAAAGAAGCTTCTTTTTGCAGACACTGGAGAACACTGCAGAAATCTGCAATGGTCAAAGTGCAGAGAACAGCTGACCATAGTGTGCTCACCCTCAGCTGATACATCTACAATACAACTCCCACACAGAAGACTCAGGGGCCACCCCAGAAAAGGGGACAGAAAGACTGTGAGAACCAGAGGACCAGGATGTGTGACAGGAAGGGAGACGCAGGGGACAGATCTGGGAGAAAAACTGGGAGTGAATATGATCAAAATTTGTTGTATAAAATCTTTAAAAATAACTAAATATTATATGCATATATTATAGTCTACCTACCTAACTATCTATATTATTTTAGGGGCTGGAGAGATGGCTCAGTGGTTACAATCACTGGCTGCTCTCCCAGAAGACCCAGATTTGTGTCCGAGCACCCACATGGTATCTTACAATGGTCTGTGACTTCAATTCTAGGTACTCTGATGCTCTCTTCTGGTCTCCTTCAGTACCAGGCATGTACACATGGTATGCAGACACACATGCAGGCAAAACTTAACCATATACAAAAACAAATAAATAATAAATACAACTTTAAAAATTTATTATTTTAATGGCAACACAAGTCTATCATCCTGGGCTTTAAGCAATCCTCCTCTGTGGGAACATTTATGTGGTTTCTAACTTTGTTATTTGAGAATAACACTACAGGCTGAATGTCCTTACACACAAGTCTTTGTTTATCTCTCATTACTTCCTTAGGATAAGTTTCTGGATGTGGAATTCTGGGTAAATGATATGAATGTCTTTTTAGTGTCTTAATAAACAATGCCAAATTTCTGTTCATAGAGACTGTTCAAATTATGTGAGAACCATTAGCACATGAGCAGTGGGTGGGTGGTCTTTTGGTGTTACAGATGTCTATCATCTGAGGCACTTTATTTAGTGACAGAGGAGAGTGACAGTTGGGAAACTGAAAGAGGTGAACACATGCTAGGCTTGTTCTGAAGCCAAGACAAAGGATGAGATGAGAATTCCTATATTTATGTCCACCCTCCCTTCTGCTTTCCTGTCTAAGACAGAGACACCTCACAGCTGTTATTCCTTTGCCCTCAATATGTTTGGCAACAGTGTTTCTACTAGCTCATACTTACTAGCTTTTAAACATACTCTCACCTCCCTTCTTACCTCTCCCCCTTCCCCATCCCAAGGGAATCAACTCTTTTCCTGTAGGCCTAGAAGTTGTGGAATGTCAGGGAGCCAGTCCGGCAGGCTCACTGGTCTCTCTCAGAATCCATGGTCAGGAACCTCTATGGCCTGCTGATGTCTTGGGATGCATTTACTTTTTGAATTTCCATGATACCTATCTCGTACTATGTATTTTCTTTTTTCAAACCTCACAGTCTGGATGTGAAATGTCTCCCATAGGATCATGTGTTTGAACACTAGGTCCCAACTAGTGACACTTTCTTGCAACTGTGTAGACCTTTTGGAATGTGAAGCCTTCCTAGTGGAAGTTGGGTAGGAGTGCTACTGCCCTGCCTTGCTTCTTGTATTTGGTCAGTTTCCTGATCCACAGAGATGTGAGCAGGCAGCCTTGGTTCCTGCTGGCACAGCCTAAGCTATTTCTGACATCAAGCCTTCTCTTCCACAATAAGCTGCACTGTCCAACTGTGAATCCAAACAACTCCTTCCTTGCCTAATTTGCTTTCTGTCAGTTATGTGGTCTCATTGGCAAGCAACTAATACACAGATGCCAGCCCAACTACACCAATGGTAGCACTAAATGGGACTGACCAGTGAGCAGGACCCAGGCTAGAAGCGTGCTCAGTGGCCGAGCATGTGTGAAGACCTGGGTCCAATCCCTACCCGCTTCAGACCTAAACAGACATAAAAGCCCCCATTTTGAGCTTTGTATGGGAAGTGTATTTTAGAATGAAAACTCAAATGTATTGAAAAGGATTTAAAAAGAAGAATCATGCAAACAGCAACCACAGGAATGCTGGACTCCTCACAGTAATATCAGAGAAAATAGGTTTCAAAGCAGAATATTAGTAGGAACAGAGGTGCATTCTATGATGATAAATGGGTCACTCCACCCAGGAGGTGGCATGTTATAAACATGTGCATGCCTAACAACACAGCACCAAGACAGGAAGTAAAAAACTTCATTGGGTATAGGGATGGGGTTGGGGGCGGGGATGACAGGTACTTCAACTCTAAGACCTGAAGATTTCAATAGCCTACTTCCCACAAGGGTTAAGACAAACAGACAGAAGGTAACAAGAAGTTGAAGAGGTGAATATTGACAGACAGACAGTCAGACATCAGTTGAACATCCAACCCAGGAATAGCAGATAGATGAGAATTAAGACTCCAGAAACAAACCCATATGCCAACGGAGTCCACCATCAACAGTCAAGACCATCCAATAAAGAATAGTCCTTTGACAAATGGTGCTGGATTAATTGCATATCTGCATGTGCAAGGATATAGTTTGGTCCTGTTTTAGGGTTTCTATTGCTGTGAGGAGACACCGTGACACAGAAAGTCTTATACAGGAAATACTTTAATTGGGGATGGCTTAGTTCAGAAGTTTACATTGGGAGAAAGTTTGGCAGCATGCAGGCAGACACGGTGCCGGAGAGGTAGCTGAGCATTCTACATCTTGATTGGCAGGCAGCAGGAAGAGAGAGTGACATCGGGCCTGGCTTAGGCTTCTGGAAACCCACACCCACCCACAGTGACTTACTTCTTCCACCAAGGCCACACATACTCACCAAGGCCACACCTTCCAATACAATGCACTCTCTGTGAGCCTTTGGGGGCCATTTTTATTCAAACCACCACAGGCCCCATACTCCATGCCATACACACAAACTCAAAACAGATCAAAGAATTAAATCTAAGAGCTACTACTATAACACTCTTAAGCACAGGGTTAAAATTCCATTACCCAAAGCTGTGGTGATAGATCCTTAAACATACACTATAAGGATAATGTCTAGAAGAAAAGTAGACCAATTGGCCTTCATCAAAATAGGAGCTTTTATGAACTACCAAGAAAGTGAGAAGATTCTAGAAGTGATGGTGCACACCAATAACCCCAGCACTTGGGAGGCTGAGGCAGGAGTCCATTACAGAGTCATGCCTATAACACATACCTCATAGAGTCCAGTAGTAAAAGGACAGCACAGAAGTAAAAGATACACCTGATATTGATAGATCTGACGAGAATTTCTTCCAAGAAGATGGACAGATGGGGAAAAAAAGGACCTGAAGAGATGCTGGTATTATGGCCACCAGGGAAACACAAATTGAAACCATGATGGTGAGATACCACTGTTCAACTTCTGGGATGGCTATAACCAAAAAGTAAGATCATCACAAGTGTCCATAAGGATAAAGGGAAACCTGGACCCTCATAATACTGCCTTTTGGAACTTAAGTAGTTTCTCAAATGCCCAACATGGAGTTGCTGAGTGTGGTGGTTTGAAAGTAAGCGCCCCCATAGACCCATAGGGAGCTGTACTATTAGGAGGTGTGGCCTTGGAGTGGGTGTGACCTTGTTGGAGGAGGTGTATGACTAGGGGGTGGGCTTTGAGGTCTCATAAGTTCTCATCCTGCTGCCTGTGAATCAAGATGTAGAACTCTCAGCTCCTCCTCCAGTACCATGTCTGCTCTGTACTGCCATGGTTCCTGCCATGATGATAACGGACTAAACCTCTGAACTGTAAGCCAGCCCCAATGAAAAGTTTTCTTTTATGAGTTGCCTTGGTCATGGTGTCTCTTCACAGCAATAAAACCCTAACAAAGACATCAGGTAGCCAGCATTTCCACTATTAGTAAGAGAAATAAAAATCTATGTCCAAACAGAAACTGGTATGGAAGTATTCACAGCAATGATATTCATAACATCAAAAAAATAGAGATAACTTGAATGAGTCAAATTGATTTACACATAAACAAAATATGGTATGTTGGAATACTACACTGGGATATTATTTGGCCGTGGAAAGGTTATGAAGTACTGATACATGCTAAGGAGAAGACGAGCCTTTATGAAAGCTTGTTACATCAAAGAGGCCAGTCATCAAAGGCCACATACTGTATTATTTCTTTTATAAAAAGTACAGAGAATAAGCAAATCTATAATCTATAAAATAGATTAGCGTTTGCTTAGTGTTGAGGTGGGAGGGAGGGTGAGGGATGACAGTTAAAGGGTATGGGCTGTTTTCCTGATGAGGTGATGAGTATATTTCATAATTAACCACAGTACTGGGTTTTCAACTCTGAATAACGAGGCTACTGTAAACCACCACTGGGCTGGAGGTGTAGCTCAGTTGGTAGAGTACATGCCTAGCATGCACATGAAACCATGGGTTTGATTCCAACCATGGTATGAATGCAGAAAGGTGATGAGGGAGAGGCATGAAGGTCAGAAGTTCAAGGTCATTCTTAGCTGTTAGGGCTTCACAAGTCCCTGTCTCAATAGCAGTAATCAACCCCCACCCCAAGTATGACTTAAAAGGATATGTTAAACTCCTTGGCTGTGATTGTAGGTGGTCCACTGTCTTCGATTTATATATTTGAGTCCATGCTGCTAGGGGGCACAGGTCTGAAACATCTCTTATTGAAGTGTGCAGCGAACAGCGTGAGTTTTGTTAAGTTGCCTGGAGTGTTTTATGGTAGTCTCCTTTGCAATTTCAAAACAAGCCAAAAAAGCAATCACAGAGAGTTTTATATCTCCACCTTTGGGATGTGAACAGGGATGGCGGTCGATTCAGTCCCCTGAGACACAACTCATGGTGGGATGTGGGATTGGAATTTGATGGGCAACGTCAAGGTGGCACTCCCACCCCACCCCCACCCCCACGACTGCTTCCTCAGGCTCAGCTTTTCTGTTCGCTTGTATGAATAGGGTGCCCAAACTGTACCAAGCTGTGCATGAACTTCTACCCACGTGGTGAGCAGCCCTTGGATGGGCATCCCAGCGTGGACTGGAAGGGGGTGGGTGCCCTTGGATGGGCATCCCAGCGTGGACTGGAAGGGGGCGGGTGCCCTTGGAGGAGGCTCACCTTGCTGATCTCTGTCAGGGACATGGTGATGGAGTAGAGCTGGTTCTTACTGGTGCTGGCGACCAGGGTTTCTTCTGATGGGCTGAAGCACAGGCACAGGACATCCTGTTTGTCTGACTGACTCGGGTCACTGCTTTGTTGGTCGACAGGGATCTGCCCAAGGCACAAAACAGCCGTCAGTCATTCTCAGTCCCACACTGTCAGCGTATCCATGGCTACGGGGGTTTCAGGAGTACTCTTAGCTCACAGACTCCTGACCACATCTTTCTCCTGTCTGGAGAAGGGAGGGCTGGTTTGCCTGTTTCTGTTGGTTTTAAAGGGTGTGTTCATTTTGCAGCAAGTAGCATCTGAAGAGTTAGACGACCACACATATGGGAATGAGTGGGCCAGGCATCTCAGTGTGAGACTCCATAACAAGCATATCCATTTAAACCCAGCATGGAAGCCCAGTGCATGGACTCTCTTGGCACCCAGCACACCTGTGTGTACTTCAGGGCATTGGAGGGTGGTGGTGGCCCCTCCACGAATGGGGAAAAGGGGTTATTGCCAGCAGCAGGCTTGGAGAGGAGCTATTGTTCCCAATGAGACATAAGAAACATAGATTTCCTTTCCCCTTCTATTAGCTTCTGTTAGTGACCAAAGATGTTGATGGGCCAGCCTGCACACACCATTTCTGCATCCTTGCCATCTGCTTAGGCCTTGGTTTCTTAGAGTAGTGGTTCTCAACCTGTGGGTTTCACCTCCTCCCCCCTCAAGGGTGTTGCATATCAGATGCTTAGATTATGGTTCACAGCATTAGCAGATTTACAGCTATGAAGTAGCAAAGAAATAATTTTATGGCTGTGGGGGGGGGGACGGTGTCACCACAACATGAGGAACTGCATTAAAGGGTCGCAGCATTAGGAAGGTTGAGAACCACTTTTTAGAGTCTGGCTCCCCCTGTGTCATTGCCTGACAAATGCTCAGAAAGATGGCGGATCTGCCCAACCCCAAAGCCAGACCCTCCACCCAGCCACATCTCCTTGGTATTTCTATACTCGGTGAGCCCCCAGGCCCTGGGACACTGGGTTCTTGTGCATGGATCCCTATGCTTGGTGTCATGTCTGCGTACACAGACCGACTCTTCCTCACATGGCCAACAAGCAAGCCTACCAGCAAGCCTTCCCTGAGCATCCTGGGATAAGGAGACGGACAGCTCCAAAATGTACCAGTAGCCCTTGGGAGCCCCATCTTGTCACACTCATCACACTATGCAAAGCAGAATGGGAGCTGTGGGCTGAGGAACCTGTCCATGCTGTTCCACAGATATGCCCCAGTGTGTGCACACGGGCCTGGAGTGTAGCAGGCACGCAGTTAAACGATGGATGCAGTCAGTGAATCGGTAGATGCAGTAAAGGATGGGTCCCTGCTCTCCTAACACAGTAAGTTCCTGCAGAGAAGAGGGTCACAGCTGACTCCACTGTCTCAGCCACCAAGCACAGGATCTGTCCCCATGGTAAGTGCACAACACATGTGTGTTGAACGAGGAAGTAAATGAAGATGGGCCCTTCAGCCTTCTTTATTCCCCTTCCCGTTTCCTCCTCTTCCTTCCCCTCCCCTCCCCTTCCTCTTTTTCTTTGTATGCTTGGAGGTCTGTATCCATGTTCATGTATGTGTGTGCACCCATGTATTCATATGTATGATGGGCAGAGGTTGACCCTGGGTCCTCCTCTACTGCTCTCTACCGTGGTTTTTGAGGTAGAGTCTCTCACTGAACCCAGAGCTCACTGACTGGCTAGACTGTCTGGTCAACTTCCTCCCAGGATTCAACTGTCTCTGGTCTCCTCCTTCAGTTCAGGGTTATGGATGCATACCACTGTACCTACCTTTTGTATGGGTGCTGGGGATCTGAACTCAGGTCCTCCTTCTCAAATAGCAAGAGCTTGGTCTACTGAGCCATCTCTCCAGGCCCCAACTTTTTTCTCTATATTTTTAATCTCTTAGTGATTCTCCCCTAACATAGGGGTTTCAGTGAAAGCAGTGGTAGTGCCTACAGTTGTGACGGATAGGTATCTGAGACAGGGGGAGCAGGGTGCTGGGGACTAGACAGCAGTTAGGACATGGAAAACACTGATTTTCCTGCCAGTGTCCAAGTCCATGCTCCTAGCTGATTTTCTTAGCCCTGGTTTCTGACCAAGTACCACCTTCCTTGGATAGACAGTCCCCCTGGTGGCTCTGAAGCAGAACCCCTCTGGCCTCTGGACCTCTTCCTGGCTGTACTTCTCCGTGATGATTCTCATCTGTCACCCTTTCATTATTGCCTCTCTTGCTTGTTGAGTCCTGAGCTGTGGCTCTTTATGTGTTGACTTTCCCATTGTGTGTCCAGCCCCCACCGATGAGCCTGCCAGGCTCAGTCAACATTTGACACATACCTGTTAAATAAATAAACAAGCCAACAGACAAGGGCAAAGTAAACTCCCACAGAGTCTGGCTGTGCTTTACCCCCCACTCTTTGCTCTTCTCCAGTTTCCCTATTTCTGGCCTCTTTCTCAGTAGTCCCACTCCAAAGCCTGGGTACCATTTCTGGGTGCTCTTTGAGAACACTTCTCCCACCTTTACCTGGAATTAGTATTCTCCAAGACGTCTTCTCTTCCCCTAGCCCCTGACATCCACTGCTCTGATCTTAGGCCTCGCTACCTTTGGGCTGTACTAATCAAAAAGCTCCCCACCGATTCCTGGTTCCAGCCATGTGACCACTGCCATTCTTTGATCACTGAGTGCCGAGCAGTTTGTGAGGGGATCTACAAAGTCTCCAGTCTCATCTCTTCCAACTTCACCCCTCATGGGGGAGATTATCAAGTTATGTTACAAACAGAGATACACAGTGTTGGCAGGCACAAGAGCTCATGGCAGCCAGTGCCACAGAGTCACGTCTGACACTGTGTGTCCTGGGGAGATCAACTTTTCTTAAACATAACTCCTTTCCACCCCAAATCCTTGAGGATCACCAAAGTATGTTCCAGACCAGCATTTGTTACACTGGTCACAGTGACCCTCATTTCCTTTCAAGTGTCATGAGGTCCCTCTGTACTGGGCAGCAGGGTTTGTTCTAAACACACCATTGCCTCCCCTGGGCTGCCATGGTGCCTCTGCTTAAGCTGCTGTCTCTATCTGGAGTTCCTGGTTTATACCCTCCTGTCAAGTATCATTCATTTTCTTTAATCCCTCAAGAATAGCATTAAACACCAAGGAGCCTCCTGGATCCTTTTCCAAGCTGTTGTCTTCTATCTGTTCCCAGGGCTGGGATAGTCTGAGACTTTCTCTGGGACCCGGATGTATGGAGAAATAACTTGTTCCTTGTCTAAAACCAGGTGCATGCTGGCCAAGGCCAGTAATGGCTGTGGCCAGAGTCTTGGGAAACTGCATTTTCCTGGATCCTGAGAACTTGATCTTTTCCCCTTGAAGGGCTGTGGTTTATCAGTCCCAAGGCCACTGAGTGCTTGGTCTGTGATGCACTTGAGACATCCCGTGTTCCCCTTGTGCAACATTGCTTGATTAGCTTCCTGCTGACTTCCCCCCATTGTATGATAGTTTTCTGTTGACTCTGTCCCCTTTCCCCCTGTAAGCTGTATGTAAGATGCTATATTTCTTAGCAAACTTGCTTACACGAGTCATCAGTGTAAGACCTCTTCATCCCAAACATTCCTGTCCTCTTTCTCATCTCCTGGTCCTCCCCACTCAGGTCCCTGTCATTGAAGAACAACCTGCTGGGCCAGATCATTTCTGTATCATTTATTCCATAAATGTGTATGCTGGGAAGTTTGATTAATATCATGGTTATAACAGTGGAAGGGTTGTGGGCACCAGGTTCAGGGAGGGAGTGTACTTGTCCACATTTCCCCAAGGACTCAAATCCAGATTGTGCTACATTGAAATCCCAATCCAGTTTACAGGCTTCTAAGTCTCTGAGGGCCGGGTTCTCTGTCTCTGTTTCTGCCCAGTCCTTCCTGGTGAAATGCTCTGTTAGAGCTATGCAGAACGACGCCCCTAAGGATCCCATCTGCTTTCCCCTTCCTGCTCCCCTTACCCGGATTTCCCTGCTTTCCCGGTAAAAGTCCTTCTCCTCCACTTTCTCAAACAGCAGCACTCTTCCGGGTCCCGCAGAGCAGGCAAAGCCCTTTGAATAGGCTGCGATGGCGAACACCTGGGGCCTGGCCTGTTGTTGGGTGTACGTGGTTGTGGTTGTCGTGATCTGCTCAATGGAGGAGATCGGGGAGCTGGGTGGTGGAAACTCGATCAGGCTGGAAAAAAAGAAAACACAGTATTTTAGGAGACAGTCCTAAGGAGAAGAAATAAGTTCTGGGGGAAAGAGAGAGGAGAGAGAGAGAGAGAGAGAGAGAGAGAGAGAGAGAGAGAGAGAGAGAAAGGGAGAGAGGGGGAGGGAGAGGGAGAGGGGGAGGGAGAGGGAGAGGGAGAGAGAGAGACACGGTGGCACACAAAATTAATTCCAGGACATGAGAAGTTGAAGCAGGTGGATCGCTGTGAGCCCAAGGCCAGCCTGGTCTAGCAGTGAGTTCCAGCACAGGAGGCCAGACACATACTGAGACCCTGCCTGCTCTGGGGTGGGCTGGGGGATGTCTCTGGCTGAGAGCAATGTGACCCACTGATCTCCTTTCCTGTAGCCAAACGCTGCTTGAAACTCTTCTCGGAGCACAGTGCGAATGCTTGCTAGACCCAGGGTGGTGATTCTTATTTTGTTTAGAAATAAGTTGTTCAGATGATGAAGTTTACTAGGATCACACAACCCTAGCTGAGCTGGTATTTGAACCCAGGTTTCTCTTTCCATTCTGTCACTTAATACAATAAATATTTATACCTGTTCATAAATTTTGATTTAGAGTTATAATGGCTCTTTGAAATGACAGTAAATGAAATCAGCGGGAAGCGTCAAGTCTTGAGCTCATGTCCTAGGGAGTGTTAAGGGACAACTAGGCATGCCGCAAAGAACCGACCACAGGGGTCACAGGCTTTCTGAGGACAGGAACTGTCTTAGGTGATCAGAGACTGAGTGCTCTCAGCCAGGCCCTCCAGGGCAAACAGGAATCGTGTGTGTCTGGGTGATGCGGCAGGGGATAGACAGAGGGCACTGCGCCTGGCTGAACCCACTAGCAAGAAAATGCACTGGTCATGAGAGGTGCCCAGAGGTGAGAGCCGATGTTCCTTTTCAGGAGAGGAGAGAGGCAGGGCTGCTTGTTGTGAGCTAAGGGGCCTTTGTGCTGGAGTCCTGGACCCACGAAAATACTGTGCATATAAAGATGTAGACATGTGTCTTCGTCAAATGCTATCATAAAATTCCACGGTATCGTGGCATATAAAGGATAATCTGAACTATCTAATGTAAGCAGTAACTAGGAATGAGGGAAACAATTCTATTGAGAATTCCTTAGGAAGCCCTAACACAAGCCACAAAATAAGGAGGCTGGCATGGGGAGGGGATTGTGGGTAAACAGAAGTTATGGAGGAGAAAGAATCCACAGGGTGTCAGGTGGCAGGGAGCTTGGGCTTTGAGCTCAGAGAGAAGGGAAACGGGATTCTAGTCCCATCACAGAGCAGTACTGAGATCCTGGGCAAGTGACTTAACTCCTTTGTGCCTTGGTTCCCTGGTCTGTAAAGTTGGCATGATACTGATACGCTCTGTGAAGGATAGGACTCAGATGAGTATGTTAGCAAGATCTGAAAACGTCCCACAGCATATTCTGCTGTGGCCATTCCTGAGGCACTGTGGATGAAACCAAACACTCCTCCCTGAATCTCCCCCCGCCCCCTTCTCACACCGCCTTCTGTCTGAGGCCTACTGAGTCCATTTTCTTGCTCCTCTTGTTCACTGTTTCCTCCCATTGAATTGCCTCTGCCCGAGGGTCCGTGTTCCTAGTACATCATGGCAAGGGCCTTGCACACTATAAGGGCTCCGAAGGCATTTATTTCTTGAAATTGGTAAATTACACAGCCATCCATAGAAAACATGCTTTGGAAAAAGAAAATCTAATATTTTGATAGATTAATCTGCCATAGTGAACTGTGTGTAAAAATGAGATTAGGCATAAGAATAAAAAGACTTGTATGTGGGCTATGTTCGGAATTGTTAAGGTCCGTGCTTGGATGCAGATGGATGCTAAAAATGAAGGAAGAAATCAGCACAGTTGGTTTTCAAGGTGCAGTGGTGGTGAGTGGCTTTAAAAAAGGTTTGTTTGCTTTCACAGCTTGCATGTATTTAAGTGCACTACATGGGTATGTAGTGCCCTTAGAGGCCAGAAGAGGGCACTACATCTACTGGAATGGTTTTGCGGCATCATGTGGGTGCTGAGAACCAAACCTGTATCCTCTGCAAGAGCAGTAAGTGCTTTTACCTGCTGCACAGCCTCTCCAGCCTCAGGAGAAGCCCATCTTACATAACTTTGGCAGTACAATGCAGGTGTGTACTTGCCCAGCAGAGGGCTGTTACCTTTCTGACTCGTGGATGATGTCCAGGCTCCTGGAGCTAGTAGGCTCCTTGACCACTATGCTTGTCTCCCAGCGCTGATCTCCAGATTCAAAGAGAAAGAGTCTGCCAGTGTCAGTGCCAACAATGATCCTGTCTTCGGACACCCAGGCGTGGGCTAGGCAGTTTGGGGATTCTCCCCTCTGGAAATTGGTTTGCTTTAGAGTTCCTTCAGCAAAACGGAGAAGTTTAAATACCCCACTTCCGGTGATACACACTTGAGTACTATCCTGGGGATTGATGCTAACCTGCAAAATGTAAGGAGATAAAAACAAAAAACAAAAAGCAAACAAAAAAGAGAATACGCTGAATCTTGATGCAAGTATTCCCCGCTTGACTATTTAATACTCATTTTACACAGCTTGTACATATCGCAAAACCATGAAATTTTATACTATATTTGATAAAGATATACATCTGGGTCTATAGGATTGACTATCAGTCAACATTGTTTTTGTGTGTATGTGTAGCCTAGGTTGGCTTTAAATGGTTACTCCTCCTGCCTCAACTTCCCGTGTGCTGTGATTACAGGCATGCACCAACGTGTCTCCTCATGAACAGAGCTATACTCTGTTCCAGTGCGATGGAATGAAGTTTGGCTAGAAACAGAGACATGAGGTTAAGCCTGTGTATGGAGGCCTGTCTATGGGGAAGAAACCACACATCAGGAGGAATTATTTGGTCTCCCACCAGAGCCCTTATCCCAACACACACTAATGGCAATTAACTTGCTGTCTGCACTAGACAGACAACAGCTTGAGGGCATGTTGCTGCCAAGTCTCTGTGTCTCCAGGGCTGGGTTCATAGTGGGCACCTAGGAAATGCTCACTGGATCTAGTGCAGAGGTGTTCTTTGCTCTGAGAGGGGGTCATGGAAAGCTATGGCCTGGATGACACAGCCTTCTAGTGCTCCTTGCCTTTGTGATTTGTTGATCAACCCTCATGTCTGTATTGAGAATGGACATGAGTGTTTGCTGGTAATGTTTGGGCTCGCACATCAACCTTTGGGTGAAGACCGGTATGATGAATGTTTGAGGCTCTAATGAGCTGGTGTCTCTGAACATGGAATGAACTGACTTCCTAAAGGTTTGAACATGAGTCTAGGATGCCGGACAGGGGTTGGGGTTCCTTGCCTACACAGCCAACCAGTTTCCTAAAGGGTCTTCGTTTTGTTCTTCAACCACAATAGAAAATTCTGTTCTCCACACCAACTCCAGTGGCACTTTCCTACACATCTGCCTTTTTGGCTGGGCATGCTGGCATCCACCTCGAAACCCAGCACTTGGGAGGCAGAGGCAGGCAAGACTGTGAGCCTGAACTATGTGGTCATAACCTGTTACAAAACCAAAAATAATACCCCTCCCAAACAAAATAAAAGCCCAAACCTACCACTTTATAAGCCATTTCTGAAATCCTCTTACTGCCCAGGAGTCTACTGCAAAGGGACCAGAACCAAGGAGAGTAAGTTTTAGTCAGCACCGCTGGGTCTAAACTGTGCCTGGAAAGTAGCTCTGGGCCAGAGGAAAAAAGACACATGACAAAGTTGGGTGCCAGCTGGTTCTGCCTCTTCGCCACTTCTGCAGCCTTGGATGAGTTACTTAGCCTCTTAGGGGCTCAGGACTCCCATCTCTAAGATGGGATAGTAACCACATATTCTTGGTATGATTATCGTGAAGCTCAATTTAAAAAAAAAATGCATGGGAGAAGTGAGCACTGTGGCACAAGGCAAATGCTAGGTAGAAGTCAGCACCCAGTGCTTTACAGTGGGCAAGGCACTCATGCCAGGAGGTACCTGGTAGATGGGGTTGTTCTGAATATCAGCTTTAATAACGGCCATGACTTTCTGCTTTTCCCATAGCCAATAGACGAGGTTTGACTCTGGAGGCGACGTCTGTGTCAGCAGGTATTTAGAGTCTGGAGAAAAAGCCATGCTGGTAAACTTTTGAACTTGGAAATCAAAATTATTCAGGACTTTGCGCTTCCGGCAAGGGATGGATGACAGCTCATAAATAGTGATGATGGGTTTTTCTTGCACTGTCTCGGAGATAGCGAGGTATCGCCGATTGGGACTGATGGACAAGGCCAGCATGCCCTGACTCTTGTCTGAGCCTGCAAAAGGAGGTAAAAACGGGGACTAAGGACAGACAATGCTTCCATCAAGGTCCAAACAGGCTTAGCAAGGGGCACCATTGACAGAGGAGAAAGGTGTACAAATATACAAAGATCTCTCCTTGGCCACGACTTAGTTTGACTGTATGTGGGTAATTGTAAAACTGGGGATGGGCAGCTCACTAGGTTGAGCTGGGATGCTGAGGAAACTTTCCTGCATCAGGACCAGAGAGGATGGAGGAATCTGCATGTGGCAGGAAGAGCTTACGAGGTGCATGGACGTAACAGAAGATGCAGTATGGCAAGAGAATCCTAAGGAGACAGATTGCTGGAGCATTGTGTGAGGTTCAGATGTGACCAGGGAAGGGCCAACAATGGCCGGATTGTATGGGCTTTAGTGTCTTAAGAATCCAGCACTCAGTACTCTCCTGTTGAGGCTGGATGCTAACTACTCAGCTCCTCAGTCTGGCAGTTAGGCAGATGCAGAAGTCTTTGTGAAGCTTTGTGCTTCCTTGATCACTGGGGACACATGCATGCTATCCTCCCTTTTTCTAGAGCTTAGAGACGACAGCTGGACATGCAGCCAGTATCTTGCTGCCTTGTAGTAACAAGCATGAAAGTAAAGCTGTCAAGTGAAGCCACAAGAGGGCCACAGCAGGCACAGCATGTGGGCCCAGACACTTGGCTGTCATGGGTCTCTCCCTTCATTAAAAATGATAAAAATAGGGATAGTGATGTTTCCACAGGACCTGAGTTGGTTCCCGGCACCACATTGTGTGGCTCACCAGCACCTGTTAACTCCAGCTCTGGAAGATTCAAAGCCTCTGGCCTCCACAGGCCCACAGACATGTGCACAGGAGGCATGTGCACATACACATACATAATTATAAATAAGAAAAAATAAACAATAAAAATAGGGCTGGCAAGATGGCTTGGTGGGCAGGAGTGCTTGCTACCAAGGCTGACTATCTAAATTTGATCATCAGGACTCACTCACATGGTAGAAGGAACAAATTCCCATGAGCTGTCTTCTGACCTTCACATGCATATCATGACATGCAGGTGTACAAGCACACACACACACACACACACACACACACACACACACACACAGAATAAATATATGCAATAGGAATGAATATATACATATTGAACATACATACAGTCACATATTGGATGGTTGTACTAGCATAGAGAGGAATAGAATCCAGGCTGGATTCATGACCATAAAATCATTACTGATGTATTCATTTTCTTCTGATATTAATACAAAGTACAACCTTTTCACATAGGCCTTGGGCACTGAGCATAGGACGAGTCATCATGGATGTGGGTCCCACACAGGGAGGTTGAGTGAGACAGGGGAAGACACACTAGAAGGTCATATGGGAGTCCATGATGGGCTCCATGCTGCTGCTTTCTAGCAAGCTAAGGAGTGATGAATATGTTGTCCTGCAGCACATCAGCCAGGCACAATGGACTCCCGCAGGAAGGCCGGAGGGACAGCTAAGCCAGAGAAGATCAAGGCTCTGGGTTGGTGAGAGCTTTGCACAAGGGTTTAGGCTGTAGCTGGGAGGCAGTGGAAGCCCCTGGAAACCTTCATGAAAGATTGGGAAAAATCTCCCTGGCGGCTGTGTGGATCTCCCTGGAGGCAGGGGCTCTAACTGGTCAGCAGGTGATGCACAAAGCAGGTGATATGTGAAGGCAACAGGAACAGTGGACACGTAAATGAGAGGTGACCAGGGAAACGCTAAGAGGCAGAACCAGCAGAATTCAATGATTGACTGGGGGGAAGGCATGAATGACACTGAGGCTTCCGGGCCCAGTGCCTTGGAGAGGTGGGATACTAGCATAGGCTGGACAAGTTACCAGAGTTGGCTTTTGCTAAAATGGTCCCCCTGAGCCACTGGACTTTAATGTGTGTATTTGTTTCTAGTTTTTAATGATTTGACTGATTTACATTTAAATCTTCAATCTATCTTGGATCCACGATGATAAAGGATAGTTAGTGAGACTCTAGAGTCTGAAGAGATGGCCTGAGGTTGAGAGTGTTCTGCTCTTCCAGAGGATCCAGGTTTGATTCCCAGTATCTGAGTTGGGAGGCTCAAACTGCCTACAACCTCAGCTCCAGGAGATCTGATGGACTCTCTGGCCTCCATGGGCACCTGTGCTTGCACACAGGCACACATACATATATATATACATTTTTAAAAAGAAAAGAAGCAAGACTCTACGTGGCTTTCCAAGCCCACACTGACTCCTTACGCTACTTCTACGATATATTAAAGTTACATATTTATATACAGATTCACTGGGCTTCTGGGCTATTTATGCTTGAGCTTCATTGCTTTTGTAATGATGTCTTTAACACAGGTTTGAGTATCTAGCAAGGAAAACCACAAGGGAAGAGGAAATAATAAAATCGGAATTTGAATGAACACTGTGAACTCCATAGTGTGAGAATCTGGGGTAAAGGGATGTAGAAGATGAATAAGATTCTAAGGCCAAGGTTTGGGCTGACGTAAGGATGCAAGGGACAGTGAGAAGTTACAGCTGGGATTATGTGAGGTCATTGTGGTGCCTGGAGGTGGTGGGGGGAAAGCGCTCTCTAACAGGCTGAGCTGTGGGAAACGTTTGTGCTATTCATTGATACAACGCTACAAAGATACATTGATACAATGATAAAGTACACTGATACAGTGATACACAATGCTATAATGATACATTGACACAATGATAAAGATACACTGATACAAGCCTGTCTGCTGAAAAGCATGCTTTGTCTTAGCTACAGCCCAGAGCATATGAAGGGCAGGGGCCACGGCTTTCTTGCCCATTCACTTGTTCACTTACCAGGGACTGGCTACCTAGCAGGCACTTAGTATAGCCATGCACAGTGTAAGAGCAGGCACATTGAGAACTGTGTCCTTAAGTGAGTTAGGTGAATAATGTAGTAGGGACTAAAGCAAGATATCTACAGCATCCCTAGGCAACACAGTCCTCTGGGACCATGGTTGTAATCTCAGTCACTAATGATATTTCTATGCAGCCCGTGACTGGGATTTTTAACCGATTCTAGTTTGTCAGACACTTACATTGCTTTCAGTCCAGTTAATTCGGTTATCCTTGAAATAGCTTCGTGTCTCCCACAAGAGGACACACTTCTCTCTACCCCTAATCTTCCTGGTCCTTCTTCTGCTAGTTCTTCCTCAGCTCCTTAGCCCTAAATGGAGGAAGTTCCCAGAGATAACAGAAGCCTTGCCAGCATAAGAGCTTCCCATTTCATCCCTCTGACCAGATTCCTTTCTCTGAGCCTGGGAATCCAAACTGTCCCTTTACATTCCATCTAGATGCTTCCATGTGTCCAGCAGACATACCTCCTCCCTCAGCCTTTTCTTCCTTGGTCAACCGCAGTTCCATCACTCTGGATGCTCAAGTACAACTGTGCTTTGTATCTGTTTATGAGGACTGGGCACGTCTATCTCCAAAACAGACCCCAGACTGGTCTTACCATCCCCAAGGTCTGATCCCACCCTGCCTTACATGCCCCATCATCTTGATGACATCAGTGCCTTATTAACAGGGCTCTTTGTTAACCCTTGTTCTCCTTAAGTCCACCCCCCCGGCACCCTGTGGAGTGGCCAGGGTGAACTCAGAGAGGTCAGCTGCATTTGGCTCCTCTAATGGGCGTCCCATGGCTTCTCATCACATGCTGTGTAGTGTTGTGCCTGCCACTCTTGCTCCCTGCTTCACCATTCCCCCCACCCAACGGTGCCTGGCTTCTTTGAGATTCCTCTATCACACTCACCACCCTCCTGGGATGTCGTCCTTTTTACCGATCCCCCTCACCCATCCCCCTCCTATGTGAGCATGGCCAGCTCCTTGACTATCAGGACTCATCACCAAAAGTCAGTAAACCAACTCCAGCACCCCACCCACCATCTTACAGCTCACACTCCCTCAAAGTTTTTCATGTTTCAGGTCCCGTTTCCTTCTTATTAGCGTCCCCATTACACTTGTTGCTCGCTCTGAGTGTAACAGAGGCACCATAAAGACAGGTGTGTGTATGTGTGTGTGTGTCTCTGTGTTAAGAAGTGCCTAAGACATTTTTGTTAAATAAAGAAATGTCTGAGCCTCATTATTACTTGGTGACCACAGCAAGCTGGACATCAGCTCCATTCCACAGATAAGGACATAGGAGTTTATAAAAAGGAAAGCCAAGCCATTTGACATTTATACTTTTAGTCTCTCTCTCTCTCTCTCTCTCTCTCTCTCTCTCTCTCTCTCCTTCCTTCCTTCCTTCCTTCCTTCCTTCCTTCCTTCCTTTCGTTTGTTTTGGTTTTCCAAGACAGGATTTCTCAGTGTAGCCCTGGCTGTTCTGGAACTCCCTCTGTAGATCAGGCTGGCCTTAAACTCACAGAGATCCTGCCTGCCTCTGTCTCCTGAGTGATGGGATTAAAGGTGTGTGCTACTACTGCCTGGCAGACCTATTTACTTTTCATTTCATTAGTAATGGTCTGAGCGCTGCCCACCATGGAACCTGCTCCAGCCCTGTATGTTAGAGTGGTCCTTTCCTGGCTGTAGTTCTTACCAGGAGATAAAATTCAGGACACATGGAATTCTGAATTGCCTTTCCTAGATTATGTCCCAGATGCCCCAGTGCCTGGAATGCTGTGCTCAGCTGGTCCTGAGCTTACTGGCTGCACCAGCTCCAGTTTTGTCCTTGCCTGTCTCTGCCCTTGGCCCGGGCATGAAGGATGCTCAAAGGGTGGCTGCTTCCAGGATGTTGGAGGAGACCCTGAAAGTGTGCCTGGGACTACTCTTACATGTAGATGAGGCTCTTGGTGATACAAGATGAAGCTCCAAGAAGAAGAAAAATAGTCAGGACTAGATGCATGAACATATGAACAGAATCATGGAAATTCAAACCTCTGGATAAAGGGCTGAAGAGAGGGTGTCAGGAGCCATAATGGGACAAGCTAATAATTAGCAGGTGATCATCCTGAAATGCTTGTCTTGGATTATTATATAAATCTGCGACAAGTGTGCCCCATCCAGCAAGGATGTGGCAGATGTATTTTAGGAAAAATTCCTGCTATTAATATGCTTTTCCTATTATTATTAAACATATGTAACAATCACTAAGCAATAGCACACCCCTTTGGAGCAGATCTCTGCAGACCCATAGCAGATCAGCTGCAGTAGCCTAGTAAGTAAACTTTAATAACATAGACAAGTAAGAGTTTATTAAACAGCAACCCTAAATATTTTGTAAGACCAAAGTCTTACCCCGAATTTCATAAAGCCCAAGGCTTTACCCCAAATCTCGTAAGACCAAGTCTTACCCCCACCGATGCTCTTCCAGTTCCCATCCCCCTCGGCTGCCTCAAGAAGAACCGACAAGGAGGAGAAGAAAGAAGATCTCTTCTCCTCCCACCAAGCCAGGGCTGGCTCCCGGCAAGAGGGTTCAGTGGTTAAGAGCATTTGTTGCTTTTCTAGGGGGGCTGAATTCAATTCCCAGCACCCATATGGAGGCTCAACCATTTATAACTCCAGTTCACAGAATCTTACACCTTCTTCTGGCCTCCACAGGCACTGCACAGGTAGTGCACAGACACAAATGCAGGTGAAACACCCATACACAGAAAAAAATAGATCAATTGATCAATCAATAAATTGAATAATTTCTGGATACACTAAGCAGTAGGCAGCTATAGCTGAAAATACAATCAGTGAAAAAATTATCTGGAAACTAGAAGGTGATAGACTAGGAAGTGGAAAATCCAGATAAGAGTCCCACACAGACACACAGATACACACACACACACACACACACAGAGACACAGACACACATACAGACACACACACACAGTTTCAGTTAAAATGTTCTACAGTTCCAAAGGGAACTAAAAAAATGGGAAAGATACGGCATCTGAAGAGACAACTATTAATGTTCTCTAGAATCATCACAAGACACTCGAGATACTAGAGATTCCTTAGGTGAATGAGAGATGAGAGCATACACACACACACACACACACACACGCACACACACGCACACACACGCACACACACGCACACACACGCACACACACGCACACACACGCACACACACGCACACACACGCACACACACGCACACACACGCACACGCACGCACACGCACATGCACACGTACATACATGGGAAGGGGACAGCACACATATATGTGCAGGTATATACATAGAGTCAGAGAAGACATTACAAATATCCAGGAGAAAGATTGTAAAGAAATATGATCCCATTTGCTAATTCTATAACTCCTATAACAAGGAAGAGCCCAAAAGACAGTGGAATAAAACATGTATCCAAAAAAATTTTATACACGGCCAGACTATCTTTTTAAAACTAAGATGAAATAAGGCATTCTCAAACAAAGAAAGGCTTGGAGAATTGAGTGCTATGTTTTACCACTAAATGTAAAAGGAAAGAAGATCCCAGCTGGACTATATTAACTGTAACAAGCAGCAGTAGCAGAGTCTAGAGACTCTATGAGAGAACTATGAGAAAAAATATGCATAAATACTGTCTGAATAAAATGGTGGCTAGTTTAGTGTTAGTAAGTCATATATAAAGATCAATATTAAATACAGAAAATATATGCTAGGAAATCTATTATCTGATTACTGAGGGAAAATGCATAAAAAACTGGGAAACATAATTTATTTAACCTGATACAGGACATTGACACTTGTTCATAGAAAATACCATTCTTTATAAAGAATATTAATAGAATTCTCTTTATGGTTAGAAACATGATGACTGTGAGCAGTATCATTGCTTCTATTCAACTCTTGAGATGCTTCCCAGTATAGTGACACAAGACAAAAAAAAAACATTATTATGGGTCGATGTGACTGTCTGTGTAGAATACCCCAAAGGAATCTAAAAAGAAGTTATTAGAATTAGCAATAGTCCAGCAAATATGCTGGACATAAAAGCTAGTAAACT